CGCGCCCTAATATATGAAGCATTAGCGCCGTCCAGACTGAGGCTATCTTCTACCGCTCCAGGGCATCGTAGTAATCCACTCGACTCAGAAACCTCAAATAATCTCCAAGGTAACTCGCTCTTCCAATTTATCTTCGTTTTCCTCGATTATCTGTTGTTCTTATCATGTTCGGATTGCTCGGCTTTATCTTTGACGATGAATTTCTTTTACCGAGTGTTCTACGGTGGCGTATTTTCAWTTTTTTTAGCTTTGATTTTGTTTTTGCTTCTAATGAGGTGTTCGTTGATTTGATATGTATTATGTTTTTGAAACTAATCGTCGTTGATTCTTTTGTGTTGAACTTTCTTGTGTCGCTGGATTTCTTGACAAATTTGCAGTTTACAGATCGTAGTTAAATCTCTATTTCCTATAATTTCGTTCTCCGATTGTAACTCAAAAAGTGAATAAAAATAGCCTAGTTTAGAAGAATTGTGGAGCTGTAGTCACTGTACCGAGCAGGAGCATGCTTTTCAGCGTGTGTGTGTATGTATATATATATATTTCTGCAAGCTTTAGGCGGCCTCTCCTCAAACAAGTTCCCTCTAATGTCTCTTCGATGAAACGATAGGACGATGACTGGATAATTTGTAAATGTGCAATGATTTTTTGGATAAGCCTCTGTAATGTTTTCAAGTGTTGCCTTTTCTCTCAGAAATTGTAATTGTTAAACGATTCTCCAGATATGATATTTTGTTGATTTATAGTTATAAAAAATGTGGCCAAGCACGTGGGAATKTATGCCTGTTTTTCCTCCCCCTTCTCCTTTGACGAATCTTTTTTTTTATTGCTAAAAAACAAGTGTCTCGTATCCTTAATTTCTTGGAAATTGTTTATTCTCATAAATCTTATCATTGTTCTTATTTCGTGAAGATGGATCATACAAAGCTCAAGAAGATGGCCGGTGCAGTTCGCACTGGTGGAAAAGGTAGCGTGAGAAGGTTGGTTACCCTGTACCTTTTGAAACGTCTGAATTGTCTTAGTAGTGTCAATTGTTTTTGTTTTTTTTTTTGTAAGAATAAGAAGACACAAATTATATCAACTGGAAAATGGAACTCTTAATAATTTTATTTGGGTGTTCTTGTTACAATTTATTTTATGGAAAGTAATTTCATTGAACCGTGGTAAGARATAGATCATCCTACTGTGGACTATGGATTGATCTAAAAGGTCAAAGGTAATGTGATATCCATACATCGTTCTTCAATCCCCATCCACTTCTGCTTTTGCATCTGCAGTTCCTCATGGTTAAATGTGCTATGAAATTCTATTGTTTGCATTAATTTTGATTRATTGCATTTTTATGATCAGAGTTGTTGTACTCTGGCTAGTTGATTATGAGAATTCTGGTATACTCCTCATGGTTTGACTTTTCACAACATATATGTCTTATTGATTGTTCTATTCTGTTTGATGAATGGATGAATATGCAAGCATATGCTTGCTTGAGTATTGCATCTATCAGTTAAACAGATTTTCCTTGTTTTCCTCAAAATCTTCTCATCTTTCCTTAACACGGGAGTTTTTGTTTGTGCTGGTGGGATATCATTTTCCTGCTCTTATTTTAAGGATCAATCTTTCAGTTTCTCACTTTTCGTTTTATGTATGTCTGCTGTTAATTACAGAAAGAAGAAGGCTGTTCACAAGACAACTACCACAGATGATAAACGGCTTCAGAGTACCCTGAAGAGAATAGGAGTTAATGCTATTCCTGCAATTGAGGAAGTCAACATTTTCAAGGATGATGTAGTTATTCAATTTATTAACCCAAAAGGTAAAGCCACTTGACTGCYCTTGGCTCTTTACCAACTAAATTTTGATATGTAAGTTTGTAACTCATATTTAGATGTTTCTTGTTCTCTATTTCAGTTCAGGCTTCTATTGCAGCGAACACTTGGGTTGTTAGTGGGGCTCCTCAAACGAAAAGTATGTTTCTCCTAGCACCTCTTGAATATTATGGATATGTAGATGATCTCATCTTCTCCAGGATATGTAGATGATCTCATCTTCTCCATTTTAGGGCATTCTTGGGAGTTCTACGTTTCACTTGCAATACTGGTCAAATGATTTGTTATAACAAAATAATAGTCCTAAACATAAAAAAACATTGTGGAATTGTCTTTGCTATTCTTAATGTAAATACCATTTCCAACTGAATAGTGGATTTATCTCAAATTCAGTTATTACTCTATTTAAATAAACAAACATGAAAAATAATGGCAACACACATGAAAAGAGTAGTGGGCTTGAAAAGGTTATAACTCAAACAAAAAGGTCTGCTGGAAAGTTCGCCCTTGCTAAAATTATGCCATTCTTTATATTTACTTGAATTGCTATATTGACAATTGTAAGATCTTACCGTATTTTGAATGTAGACTGCAATGTCTAACATCTTGCATAGACTAAAATTACTCGAAACCCCTCTCTTTTTTACTGACACTTTGTTCTGGCTGTTAGAAAACATGGTTTTGAGTGGTCGGCATGCTTCCATTGTGATAATTAGTTGTTTCTTGTTAATATCTATCTCCAATGAACACATGTACGTAATACTATGCCCTTCTAATAAATTTTTTGATTTCTCCTTTCAGAATTGCAGGATATCCTCCCTGGAATTATCAACCAGTTGGGTAAGTCTGCTAAGTGTTTTCCTGTTTCCTGCTTACTTGTAGCTATAAATAATAACATGAATAACGCAGACTCATTTGCGTGTAAATATTCTAGGGCCAGATAATTTGGACAATCTGAGGAAATTGGCTGAGCAGTTCCAGAAGCAAGCACCTGGTGCTGGTGCCGGTGCAGCCAATGCACAGGATGACGATGATGATGTTCCCGAGCTTGTAGAAGGGCAGACCTTCGAAGCCGCTGCAGAAGAGCCTCATGCATCCTAGAGAGAAGCTCTCTGATGATTTTGTTTAGTTTTTACATATTTATTTCTAATGCTTGGAAGAGTTCATTTTTCTTCTTGTATTTGGTCTTTCTTTCCTAATCTTGTCGCTCATGGCATTTTACCCCGATGTAACCCCTAGATGGATGGATATTCGATTGCCCCCTTCAACAGCCTTATTAATCCCTGGGGAATGCTTTTTTCATGTAGGATCGGAATTAATGGCTCCCGCCTGCCCTACCCAAAGAAAAATCTGGACATTGAGCGTGAGCCATCTWTGTATTCGAAGATAAGGTATGCTTGTTAAGTGTAGTCCTTTCACCTCTATTCTCCTGTCCCACGTCGTTTCCAAGTTGATCAGTCATTTTATGAGGTTACCTTTTAAGGAAAATATGGTCGTTTCTTATTTCTTGATTTCCATTTTTGATAAACGTAAGTATTTACAACTTGTTCTTCACTTCTCCTTATTAAGAAATATTTCTATAATTGTATACAAAAGCAAGAGCTCGTTGAAACAGATCTGTATTAGTAACTATCTGTTGTTTTTCGCCCCCTTTTTTAATATTATTGGAAAAAAAGAAAAAGAAAAATGTTCGGTAATCGTTTCTTTCTTTTCTCGTTTTCCTGAATTTTAATACATAAATAAAAGCATTAATATTATTCTTGAAAATAATAACTAATAAATGGGAATGTTGGCAAATGAGTTTGACTCTTGTTTTTATTTTCGTTTCTAATTATTTAAAATATAAATAAAAATATTAATATTATTCTGGACTTCTAAATTGTATAATAAATATAACATATAAAATTTAAATATTCAATTTAAAATGATTTAATTGCTTTTTTTGGAAAGGAATAACRTGAATTATTAACAGTTAGTTTGGATCCTGTTGTAAATTCGCAAACAATGTAGGAAGAATCAGGACTTGTAAAATCGAGTATAGTAGAAATTAGGTGTGCACCGTCCATTTCTCGTAATTCGAATTATATTGAAATCTGGATGTTATAGCGTAGTATAGATGAGAAAATGTATGTTCTTTTTTGTAGTTTTTGCTTGAGCCATTTTTATGCGAGTTTGACCAGAAAAGAAACCCCATCCTTGATTTCACGTTTGGATTACAGAATGAAAGAATGACGAGGTAAATAATGTAAGGAAATTGCAGTGTACTTTTGATTGGAGAGGAGAAGAGAATGAATTTTCAAGCAATTTACACTCCTGGGGATTGAATRCGGGCCCATGCCTTTTGAAGTCCTACGTACAAAAGAATTATTTAAAACGGTAAGCCACATGAGTTGAAGGGCGTAGAAGAATGGATGAGAAACTCAGGCAGCAGATGTCTCAACTGTAGCAGCAAAGAAGCTTAGTATGGACAACACATAACGACAGGAGCATTGTTAGAAATCTAACACATAAGATAAATAAACTCCCAAAAGAAAAGAAGGAAAGAAGAAGAAAAATGACAACTACAATTTATCCAAGCCCAAAGCCAGATTTCTTCCAAAGCACTTTAGAATGAACACCGAGCACTTGTACTTCAGGTAAGAAACTACATTTAGATGTCTGTTGATTATTAAATGGTTTAAAAACAGTTTTTAGTCACTCTCATTAAAGTAACGATTTAGTCATTGAACTTTCATATTGGTAACAATTTAGTCTCTAAACTTTAATAGATAATAATTTAGTTTATGTAGTTTAGAGTTCGTAATGATTTAAGTCCCATCGTGTAAATTGGGGTTTCTTATATATATTTGATAAATTGACAAGAGACCAAAATGTTTATGAATTGTGAAGACCAAATCATTGTGATAAACACCTTACACTTAATTTTGATGAGATTTTTTCACGGTAGAAACTAAATTGTTACATATTAAAGCAATTTAAAAGTACATGGACTAATGGTTAAAAATTGAATTTTATGAACTAAATTGTTACTTCAATCAATGGCATAGACAATATTTTTTTTTTAACCTTATTAATACTATACATGCAAAGTTCTGAAAGGTTTATCATGGCAAGAGATGACAAAGTTGTTTATTAATACTATACATGCTGAAGTACTGAATCTTATAAACTAATTCGTTACTTCAATGCACAAACAAATATTGTTTTTTAACCTTATTAATACTATACATGCTGAAGTGTTGAAAGGTTTATCATGGCAGGAGATAACCAAGTTACAAGAAGATTATACTTTAAAAAAAGATATCAAGATTTCTATTAATAGGGATATTTAGAGTAAGTTTAATATGATTTTTGAAAGGGTGCCAAACACTTCAGCATCTTTTGTATATTTAAAAGTAAGTTAAAAAATATTAAAGATATTACAAAGCATTTAAAATTCTTTATAGAAGAGACGATCAGAATTTTTCTAAAAGGGTTAAAAAAAAAAAAAAAAAAAAAGGGTAGGGAAAATAAACAAAGAGAGAGAAAAAAAAAAAAAAACCAAAAGATACAGAACTATGCACATGGTTAGCTAAGAATTTTTTTTTAGATAGGACACAATTTCATCAATGATAACAAAACCTCTCCTATGGTATTAACAGTGGACAAGGAAAATTCCAACTTCAAACAACTCAAGATTCATGTGAAGTAAAGTCCAAATTGAGCAAAAATAATGTTATCCTCTAAACAACTTAGACCAGTTGAACAGTAATCATATGAATGATAGGCCTTAATCTAAAAAAAACTAAGTAAAAAGTAATCATATTATTTCCTTTGGTGCATGAATCTTAAAAGTTAAAAGACGGCTGGAGTTTTATAAAAGAAACAAACCTTGTCGACAAGATATGCTGCATGCTCCGTCCAAAATTTAACCTCTCCTCAAATGGATAATTTACCACCAAAGCATTGTATAAAATTCGTTTTCCTGTATCCACGAACTTGATTTTAGAGTTGGCTAATTAAGAGTCTTCAAGGTCATTTTTAATAAAGAGAGAACTTGAAGAACTTTTAGTGTGGGTACTTACAATCGAAAGTTGCCCAACGAGCTGGAATTACGCTAGAGCAGTCCTGGTTTTTATCTTGGACATATAGTAAGTTGAAGAGGTCTGGGGATCCATTTGTATTTTTTGTGGATGTATCGACTTCTTTCGCTAACGAAGGGCCTCTTGGAGCAGCAATATGGCTCTTCATATCTAAAGAATTCTGCATGAGAAATATGCACCACCATGATCACATACTCAGAATTATAGCTTCTTATTTCCCAGTTAAGGCCAACAGTAAAATATATTGAAAGAAAATACGCTAATTCTAGAAAGTGAAATAATTAACTTCACTGAATTCCTCAATCCAAGCCATGCATACGTAGGAAGAACAGTAAAGTTCAGACTCCGTTTGTTTGTCCATTCATTTTCCAAGTGAACAGAATTACTGGCAAAATCAATTTAACATGCCGTAAAACAAAACAAAGCGAAAATGAATGACATTACAACACATTTTGTCAAACCTGCAAATTATAGAGTTTTTATTCAATCACATAACAAAACAATGCACATTTCATTGCCCACCGTTAGTTTGTCCATCCATTTTCAAAGCTAAACTGCTGTAGTGTTATTGCCAGGATAGACAGAAATTAAAAGGGGGCATCATACCAGTGTTGTTTAATGCACATTTTCTCCCCTAAAGATTAAGATAATTTTCCACCCACTCCATTTAATCTTTTATTCACCTCAAGTTTACTGGTCTTATATTTACTCTTTTTTCCTTTTTCTTTAAGGCATGCACACCAATGGAACAATTATGGAACTTAAGGTGATAAAAGACAGACTATCCTGCTTGACAAACAACCACAATGTTTTGGGTCGAGGTGTGAAATCAGAAAGAATAATTTACAAAAAGGACACAGTTCTCAGATCAACCGACCGCTTCCTTTCTAATTTTGTAATCTTAGAGTTGGAAGTATATCTATAGGAAGTAAAACACTAACACAGAGAGATGTTGCACGAATGCCAGGCTTAAAAAATTTGCACACTACGCTAATTCTAAAAAGTGAGATAATTAACTTCACTGAATTCCTCAATCCAAGCCATGCACATGAAGGAAGAAAAGTACAGTTCAGACTCCGTTTGTTTGTCCATTCATTTTCCAAGTGAACAGAATTACTGACAAAATCAAGTTAACATGCCATAAAACAAAACAAAGCGAAAATGAATGACATTATAAAACATATTTTCAAACCTGCAACTTATACAGAGTTTCTATTCAATCACATAATAAAATAATGTAATTTTTAAGATGTCAGGACTTTTATATTTCCACGAGACTAATATATTGTGTGATTTTTTTAAACGTGTCTTACATGACACTTGTTTTTTAATTTCACACTTTGCTATTTCTTTAAATCTTAAAATAGACTGCTAAAAATATGATTGACTACTTTTATGCTATTTTTTTGAATTCCCTGTTAAAAATATGGAGATACACACCATCGTTATTTAATGCAAATTTTAATTTCTTTCATTAGTCGAAAAATGTCCTCCTTTCCAGCTTCCACATCAATTTTTTACCTTGTAGAAAAATCTCACTAAAAGGAAAACAGGAATAAAAAAATAATAAGCAAGAGGATCACAAATGAACTTACCCAGCGTGCTTTTGTTACTGTGGGGATTGTTGTTGTCACGTGCTGAGTGAGAATTTCTTCCTCAAGAGAAAAGTTCCTCATCTTCTTTGTAATAGAGCTTTTGGGTCCACTTTCAACCGAATCGCAATAAATACTTCTCATTCCACCTAATTGTGGAGTTGGCTGTATTCTATTCTTAGAGACCCACCTTTTCTCTTCGTACCTGAAAGTTCCTCAACAAAGTTAGATAAATATAAAAGAACAAGAATGAGTAAACCATATCCAGATTTCTTTAAAAACTTGTGCTAAATTTAAGCAGAAAAATTACTTGGCACGAATGAACGTAGAACTCCCTCTCTTATCATAATTTGGTGGTAGTTCAGCTTCCCAGTAACAATTAGACCTCTCATTTCCCATAGCTACAAATATAATGATCAAAATGTTAAATAATCTGTAAATGACCACATCAGCCTCAAATAGTTGATAAACAAGAAAATTTAATTTGCTGACAAATAAGACCTCTCAGTCTAACAGAAGATTTTCCTCTGGGGATTATTAAGTATCAACCAATTGTGAAGCAATTCGTCAGTTGAAGATGTCAACTTTTCTAATTCTTAATAAAAATCAGGGTACCTAACACTTGTGAACCACATTGGCAAAGATTGAGACTTGTTTGGTTCCTGACTCTGTCTGTTTAAAGGCTAAGGAGAATGGGAAATTCAAAGGGAGGGAGGGAGGGAGGGAAAGAGAGAACCTCCATAAACAAAGGAGTGTATGCACTATTAATTTATTGGCATCCATGCAAAATAATCTTGAACTAGTTGGAACAAGAACAAAAGACAAATTTAACAAATTTCAAATGTTCTTACACTGCATAAAAGCAACCTGTTCTGGTAGCCATGTGTCAAGAGTAGTAGACCGCACCTAACACAAAAATGAAAGTTTTGAAGTGTCAATACGGTTAAAAATACAAATTGAAGAAAACATATTCAGCATAATGAGGAATTAAAAAAAAATCAAATTCAGAACACTACCTAGATCAAAATCAAAATTCAATTAAACAAACATTTAACAGCAAATGCAAGCACATATGTATGAGACAGTGAAAGCACTTTACTACGCTCATAATTCCAGCGGGTCCACACGTTAGTCATGTGTTCAATAACGTTAAAATAAAAATTATTGCTATTTTGACCTAAGGATTACAGAACAAGCTAAGCTAATACTTGACAGATATATTAGGTTGATCAGCAGACAACTTGGACCTTCCAGAGTAGTTTGCAAGCAATAACACAGTCCACATATTATCTCAGATAATTGGAACTAGATAACAAATTTCCAAAGTGGAAAATTTGTTAGTCATGCGTTCAACAACGCTAAAATAAAAATTATTGCTATTTTGACCTAAGGATTACAGAACAAGCTAAGCTAATACTTGACAGATATATTAGGTTTATCAGCAGACAACTTGGATCTTCCAGAGTAGTTTGCAAGCAATAACACAGTACACATTATCTCAGATAATTGGAACTAGATAACAAATTTTCACTTTGGAACCAAGCGGATCATCAACATGTATAAACGACAACTTTATTGAAATTTCAATTGCAAAGAGAAAACGCTAAATTTGTCATAACATCGTAGGTAAATAATCCTAATTAATTTTCTTTATTTATTGATATGGACAAATATTAAGGAGATTTCCTATCAATTGCAGTGTCTCTCACCATATTTGTATGCAAGGAGATTTCCTCAAAATCTACAACCGCCAGAGAATCTCAAATAGAGTGGTTACAAGTCTTGCCTCTGATATTACTGGGATGCTCCGGTGGTAGTAATTAATACATGCAAAGTGGCATAATGTGAGGACATTTCTGGCTCTATGCATTATTTTTCATTGTTTAAATGTAAGATCATTTTAAAGTTCACGTGTGCTATGAAGAATCTCTTCCTACTACAGGAAATTGTTCAAACCAAACTAGAAAGCTCAAAGCCAAAATTTCTATAAGATTCATAGGACCACTACTCCACTACAAAGAAGGAACTTCAACTGGTGGCAAAAAACATTTTTCTATATATGATAGGAAAAAGGGTGAAAGAGACCTTTGAGATATGTACTCCAAGACTCCGATGAATACCCGAGCATTGCATGCATATAAAAATTCCAAGGTTTACACTTGCCCATCGTGGAGCCCTGTGCATTACATAGAAAAAAGTATATAAAGTATACAATATTAAAGTACATGATGAACTCAGATTAAGTAAGAAAGTTGTATCAAAGCACACATTTTCTTAGAAAACCATTTCCAAATCCTGGTTTTCATGTTAACCATTTGCCAATAGTGAGCAGAATTAAACCACGCCAATTTAAATGCTTGCTTTACTATTATGCTAAACCTAAGAAAATATCTAATCTAATGGTTGGTATCACCACAAGAATCTTTATACAATGGAAAAGATTTATTTTAAAATGTCACTACCCTATTGTATCTTATTCTTCAGAAAGTTATACATTGATGCATATTCTTCTCCTGGTCTATATTATTACCATTTCCAGGCTTTTTAGCTAGTTGTTAAAGCCATAACTGTGCACTGCCTAATTGAAACCAGTCTTCCAATGATCGCCTTAAAACTGCCAAGTCTTAATCCAAGTCCTAACCCTCTCAATAACTTAGCAGCCTTGTTCCAGAGATGCCTAGGGATGAGAAACATACATAAAGACATTATACAGCCAACTAATCTACCAAAACTTTATCGAGCATAATATTCAGATAGTTGTTTGCCGGTTTAAATTTTAATTGAATATCAAAAAACATGACATTTAAGAGTCCTAAATGTCACAAAACTAACAGCTAAGAAAAAAAAGTTTAAAAGCATTGAACATTCAAAAGGAGGTAGTTTGACAAGGATACTGGCATGCTGCCAAGAAAACTGATATTCACATTCATTGGTTAAATAGATACTAACATGATATGAAGTACTATAGGGCGTTGGTTGTACGTAAAAATTAGATGATAACCACCGTGTTTTGACTTTTGTCCAATAAGAAAAGGATAGCAGAAAAATTCTCTCTAAAGAACTGTAGAGACAGAGAACATATTCAGGGAGGAATGAGAATCTACAGTTTGGAAATAGATATTGTAGTGCGAAAGTTATGCATGCTCCAAGTAGATTTGGCTGATCGGACGCTTAGAATTATAGGAAGTACGTTTCGTATTCAAAAATTAAAAATAATGATTAAATGCATACTTGCTCCGGCAGTCTGCACATTCCCTATTTTCTGGAAGCTTGAGAAGACCTGCTAAAATCTGTATAAACAAATATTTAACACGTACAAAAATGATCTCAAGTTAAACGAGGTAATACCGTAATCATTGACCCTATTTAAGAATGACAAACGATTAAAACCAAGAACTCGAGATAAAATATTAAAAATCACATGAAATTAATATACTAGTGACTGAAAATTCATTTCAAATAACTTGAAAAGGTGAGAAGAGTTTTGCCAATACCGCGAAATTCAATCACAGTTTTTAGCTTGGTTTGATTGTGCTAGAAGTTCGAAACAGTTTTTATAAACAAAAATCCAAGAGTAATCTCAGCATTTCCAGACACTAACATTACGCTGCTACATTTGACGCATAACAGCTAATTTTTCCTTCTCGAAACAATGAAATTTCGCTAAACTTCCGATCAATTCCAAACAAAACGGAAGAGGGATAGATAGATAGATAGATAGATAAAGATTAGAAAGAAAAACCTTAGTATGTTTGGCTTCGAGCTCCTTAGAGACGGAGGCCTTCTCGTTCATGTTTGGTATCCGATTCGACGGTGTGCTACGTCGATCGATCCGGTGCGGTTTCTTAAGAAGTCGCCTTCGCCTCTGGTGGCTCCGAACAAAGATTTCTCGGGAGCGGCGATGAAGAGAGAAAGAAAGAAGGAAAGAAAGAAGGAGAGTTGGGTAATGATTGGCTCCACAGATTCTGAGGGAAACGGTTAGAAATCCTCAAAATAATGTAAAAAGGGAAATTGCAGCCTTCATATTGGACGTTTCGCCACCTGTTCTGATCTTGCTGGCGGGAACTATAAAATTTATGTTTATATTTATATTTATATGAACCGCGGCGCCAGGTAAGACCGCAACCCGCGAGCCTAAGGCTGCCACTCACCCCCGCGTGTTCTCCAACCCGATTTGCTCTGTAGGCGGGGCCATATGCAGCCGGATCCTTCCTTTTTTCTAATAAACCATTTTTAAATTTTTAGCCTCTTTTTGTATTCGTTTAATACATTTTACCTTTATTCTTCGTTTCCCTACCGAATGTTGATGTCTTTGAATAAAAAATGGGAATAATATTCAATGAGTTTGTAGGAAACTTTTTAGTTATTCAAACTCATAACATTTTAGTATAGGTGTCAATTACCACTCATTCTCAAGTTAGATATGGATCTTACCAATTTAATTTGATTAAGTTGCATAATTTAAACTCTACCCTTAATAAATTAATACCATTAGTTAGTTAAATTTATCCCTTTTGGAATATTTGTGAACTCAAATGAACGTTCTTATTGAGGTTTGGTAAAGTCGTTAATGTGAGTGTCAACACGAATATATTTAAAAAATCACAAACACAAATTTGAAAAATATTTTTAGCTCTTAAATTTTGATTGGTAATTTTAAAAAATGTTTCGGAAGTAGATTGTAGATTAAGACTGCTCATGGAGAATATATTTAAATAAATAGAAACAATAGTGCTTTATTACTTTTGAGTTTCGAACATGTCAACTGATTCGAATTTATAGTCTTAAAAAACGATAATTTACAGTATATTTTATTTTAATAATACGTTGGAAATTTATGGTCGATAAAATATGAACTCCAGCATCATTATTATTTCTGCACATGAACGTCTCCAAATATAATTAATTACTCTTTCCACTCTGTGTGCAACATTTATACAGAACATACATTGACCTAAATTTTTATTTTTTAATTAATTAATTTTTTTTTATTATTTAATTAATTTTTTTTTACAAAAGTAAATGAGGAGTGTTATAGGCAAAGGCTAAGCAAGCGTGCCCCTGCAACTGCTCTGCCTGACCGAATTTTCCCTGCAGGATGATAAGAAAATTCTACAGTTTAAGATTTCAATCTTTTAAAAGTAATTATAGAAAAAGTGTTTTTTATTTAAATAGCACTTTCTCAGGGAATGGCAAATACACAAACACATGTTGGCTTTCAAATAATATGACAGACAGGCATTACTCAAGGGTGCAACACTCCCTCCATGAGCAGCAAATCTGACGGAGATTTAGTTCATTCACTTTCAAATTGGTAATAATTTAGTTCTTAAATTTTAGTATCTAACAATTTAATCCCTATAGTTTAAAACTTATAACAATTTATCCTAACCATAAAAAATCTCATCAAAATTAAGTATTTTTATCATTACAACAGTTTAGTCGGTATCATTTATAAACACATTTGACCCCCTGTTGATTTATCGATCTACATTTACTCTTGACACTGTTGTTACTAGCCAAGCTAAAAAGAGGTAAACAAACTTTTGATAACACGAGGAAGGGGGAGAGCATGGCATAATGATCTCCCTCCCATTTTGTGTACATTGCATTTAATCAAGTAGGTTTCAGTGATGAAGCATGAAAGTATTATATTCCAGGAGTTCTGTCCATGGATTTTGCAGATTACCATTCTAACTGGGTGAATAAGTGACAATTATATGAATTGGGACGAGGGACGGAAGTTGTAGATGTATTACATGAGCCCACTGACGTTTCATTTTTCTCAATCAAAGTTCAGTTTTTTCGAATTTGAAAAAAAAAAAAAAACCCCAATAATGTGACAATTTTATTTCATTGATATGGGAGTGTGATAAGAGACCTTGGTTAGTTAAGACTTAAGAGTACAATCACAACATCTGTTCTGGGTTTTTGCGACTCTTTTCAGAGTGTTATTTACTTTGACACATTGAATTTTTGTTACTCCTTACGATTTGGGAGGCACGTCTATTACCTTTTAATCAAATAACAAGTGCAATAATGTAATTTCTTAATGCATAAAGACTAAATCCAAACCAAGGTTGAAATATAGGCACTAAAACTATAATCCAAATTCTTTCTGTTTTGGGCCAGAAACCCTCAAATCCAATACGACAACAAAATGGTGGTAGGGATTTAAGACTCAACAAAAGTAAATTCAATTCGGTTCACTTACAAATTTAGAAGGTTAAGGACAACAGTACCCAGTACTCCAATTCACAATGGTATGATATTGTCCATTTTGGACATAACTCTCACAGCTTTGCTTTTAGTTTCATCCAAAATGTTTTATACCAATGAAGATGTTGTCCCCTTACTTATACACCCAGGATGATCGTCTAGTCAATATGAAACTTTGATAGTTTTCCTAACATAAAACTAATTTAAAATTCCTAACTCTGATCTAACATGATATAAACAGCACAATTAAGACAGTCTGCATTTGTCGCAGTGGACAGGAATGGAAGGAGTGCGAGGCAACAGCTATTAAACCAAAAGAAATTCTTGTGTTTTTTTTAGTTGCATTCTCCTACACTAGTGTCTTCTGAGTCGTGATTAACAAGAGAAGACTTTCCATGGAATTTAAAAGCTTTCAACTCATCTCATGAAGTTGATAAGTAGCTTATCTTAGCTTCAACAACTAAAATCTTAGAAGTACATAAACTCAAACCAAATTAATGTGCCATTAAGAACTCCTTGCACCTTTCATTTTCATTTTCATGTCAATAAAACATCAGACAAGAACCAGCATAAATGCCTAAAATCCTTACAATTCTAAACTAAGAGTTCTTCGAAAACTCACATCGGGATGTGAATCTGAGACTCATTTTCCTCCAGTTTCTTGGGGAGTCTTTGCCACTATTGAAATTGCATGCAATCCAGACTGAAGTTCATCAGCCAACGCATCATATACCATTCTATGGCGCTTCACGAGGCTCTGCCCTTCGAACTGCGGAGACACTATCTTCACATTGAAATGAGTTTCTCCAGCACTGCCCTTCACCGCCGCGTGTCCAGCGTGCTGGTGCGAAACGTCCTCGATTTCCAAAACACTCGCTGATAGAGCTGATTCCAACTTCGTCTTCATCCTGTTCGCCCTTGAGAGCAATACGTTTGCCCCTCGTGAAGCCATGGTGTTCGATTAAATGTCCGCGATTCCCCCCTCGATTATAGCTCCTGCAATTCCCATTTTCCGTCATTTCCAAGATTTGCATACATGAGAAGGCAGAGTTTCAGATAACTGGAAATTTACACGGTAAAATTGTAGAATCTATAATATCCTTTTCTCAATTTTGATATGAATAGCAGAAAAGTTATCACCCACGACTGGTAAACCATCAAAACTTCGTAAAAAGGGATTTGGTGGTTTACATTTGATCGGAATACAAAATATCGTTGATTGATGTATAAATCTCACCGTCGTTACTCGACGCAGGCCGCCCCCGCTCGATACTCGGTTGCCGTCGACTTTGGCACTGCGCTGCGCTTCAATTCAACGCAATTCGGCACGATCCTTTTTGTCCTTAATCCCGATTCCTGTGTAAAGCAAAGCAAATGTTGTCTTTTATTTTTACCATTTAAATTTTGCAATTACATAACATTATCTATACTATATTAAAATGGGAGGATGTCGGAAAAATATTTTTGGACGCTTTTGTCCCTTTCTTAATTTATTAATTATTAATTTACAAATTATGTTATTAATAATTTATTATAAATATTAAATTAATTATTGATTATTAATTATCAATAATAATATAAYWATAAATATTCATGATCTAAACAAGGTTAGAATACAAAAGGTTTTTCACACTATTAAATTAAATTATTTTCTTTAATTACAATTTATAATAGAATTACAAGAGTTTTGTAACGTTTTATCTCCCAATACTATAAAAACATACTTTCTTTCACTATTTTTTCACAACACTTAATTCTCTCATTGCTCTCAAATATTATTCAATCTCAAAAACATCTCAAAATCATGTTGGCGACATATTCATCAAGTCATAAAGAATACATGTGTCGACACTATATCTTGAATCCAAGGCTTGCGAGATCATCGTTTCATAATTTATGAGGTAAAATAATAGTGATTGTTAAGCATGAACATATTTTAGATTAGTGTATTGATAAACTTTGATTTTTTTTTGTTACTATTGTTTTGTATTGTTTTTTTATAATTAGTGTTTTATGTATTTAGAATGTTTTTTGAGAAAATAATAATAATGTATTGATCTATTACAAGTTCATGTTGATTTTGTTGAAAAAAAATYTGTGTAAGGTCMTAAAGTTTTAATTAATTGTAAATAGTAAATTAATAAATTAATTATGTACAATAATTKGTATGAAATCTAAAAAGTTKGAATATACTAACTTGAATTTAAATTAGTATRAASTAAAATATTTAATATATAACAAAATGTTAGYTTGAAATTTTTTTAGAATTTTTAATAAACAAACAAAATATTTTTAGAAAATAATGGACCAAAATTAGATAAAATAACATTAAAATAAAAAATTAAAGTATTTATACATTTCTTAATCAAATATAAAATTCTTTAAGAGGTACGAAACAATGCAATTTAAATACATTCATAGATTAAATGATTAAATTAGTAAAGTACCTATATTTTAATGAAGTTTGTATATATACATCTTAATTTTTTTCTTTTTTTTGTTTATTATTGTTATTATTATACTAATATTGTTTTTTCTCATTTATTTATGTTATTGTAAAATTAAGTTAAATAGAAAATATTCGTCCATTTGCACGAGGTATCGAACTATAAAATGATGCTTTATATATATTTCTTTTTTCTAGGGTGCACAGTCCAACCTCCCATTCTTTTTTAATTATATGTTTTAATCTACTAAACTAGATTCGCAACTTTTTAATATTTTTTATATTTATAATTGATTTCTTATAATTATTTAGTTTGTGTACTTAAAAATTATTTGATAGTTAATTTAGACAGTGTTCAATTTAAATATAATTGTCGTTGCCAACATAAACATAATCAAGTGCTTATTTATTCTTTAGAAGTTGGAGGTTTAATTCCTCTTCTTCATATTGATTGTATTAAAAATTTTAAATATAATTGTCATTATAAGCATAATTTAATTGATAAAATGTCATTTATAATTCCATAATGGTTGGGTGAGTCATCTTGTGTCTACTAAATTCCGATCACTCGAATTCTTGGAGAGGTTGAGAGGAATGCACGTAAAAACCAGAAAAAATGAAGAAAGACGTTATGATACTCAAGTTGGTAATAATTCAAACCGTTAATCTAAAGACGAGCAACTGAAATTTAATAGAAATGACAAGACTTAATCAAAAGGTATTTCAATTCTTATAAATTTGACTGGTTAATGAATGACCATGTATCAATATCAGCATAGCTCAACTGTATCATTTGAAGTGAAAAAATATGAAATTTGGCTTTAATTTGGTATAATATAAAATAAAAAATTTCTATTTATATTTCATAAGTACATTTAGATTTGGTACATCAAACTATATAATATATAATAATAATAATCCTTCTAATTTCCTTAACATGCTCAAGTGAAGTATGTGCGGCGGCCACTTGGATTGGCTTTGAACATAGCTTCTCCTCGTCCGGCGAATAGTTTGTTATAGGATTTCAAATGGTTATGTAAATTAGATGCATCATCTCCTCGCTCGCCCAATTATTTTCACTTCAAATTCCACAAAACTACAACATTCAATTGCTCTGAGAATTTCTCACAATTCTTTTATTCCGGAACCAGAGAACTCGGGGAAACTAGAAGATTTCTATGCCAGTCTCCTGCATCGGTGCGTCCGAACCTCCGACTCCCGCCATGGATCGGCAATTCATGCGAAGTTCCTCAAAGGGGTTCTTCCATTTTCTCTTTTCTTCCACAACCATGTACTTAACGTATATGCCAAATGTGGAGGTCTCTCATATGGCCTGCAACTGTTCGACGAAATGCCTGATAGGAATGTCGTGTCTTGGTCCGCAATCATCGCTGGATTCGTCCAACACGGCCGGCCCACCGAAGCCCTGTCTCTATTTGGCCGTATGCATCGCGATGGCACGATAATGCCCAACGAGTTCACCCTTGTAAGTGCTCTCCACGCTTGCTCTTTAACTGAGAGGCTGCTTTGTGGATACCAAATTTATTCGTTAATTGTTCGCTTAGGATATGGATCGAATGTTTTCCTCATGAATGCGTTCTTAACGGCTTTAATTAGGCATGGGAAATTGCTAGAGGCTTTAGAAGTTTTTGAGAGTTCTTCATCCAAGGATATTGTGTCTTGGAATGCCATGATGGCTGGTTATTTGCAATTAGCGTATTTTGAACTGCCAGAGTTTTGGCGCCGGATGAATCTTGAGGGCGTTAAGCCTGATAATTTTACATTTGCCAGTATTTTAACTGGTTTAGCTGCTCTATCTGAATTTAGGCTGGGATTGCAAGTTCATGGACTGCTAGCGAAAAGTGGATATGGGAATGATATTTGTGTAGGGAATTCCTTGTGTGATATGTATATTAAGAATCAGAAGTTGTTAGATGGTTTTAGAGCTTTTGATGAAATGCCTTCAAGTGATGTGTGCTCTTGGACCCAGATGGCTGCAGGGTGCCTCCAGTGTGGGGAACCAATGAAAGCACTCGAGGTCATTTCCGAAATGAAAAATTTCGGTGTGAGGTTAAATAAGTTCACTCTTGCAACTGCCCTGAATGCTTGCGCCAGTTTGGCCTCCCTAGAAGAAGGGAAGAAACTCCATGGATTGAGAATTAAGCTTGGAGCAGATATCGATGTTTGCGTCGATAATGCTTTACTTGATATGTATGCAAAATGTGGATGTATGACCAGTGCAAATGTCGTCTTTCGTTTGATGGACGAACGATCCGTTGTCTCATGGACTACTATGATTATGGGATTTGCACATAATGGCCAAACAAAAGAAGCCCTTAAATTTTTTGATGAAATGAAAAAGGAGGGAGCTGAACCTAATCATATCACTTTTATCTGTGTCCTCTATGCATGTAGCCAAGGAGGTTTCATTGATGAAGCATGGAAATACTTCTCTTCCATGAGTGCTGAGCATGGAATTTGTCCTTCAGAAGATCACTATGTGTGTATGGTGAATCTTTTAGGCCGAGCCGGGTGTATAAAAGAAGCTGAGGATTTGATCCTACAAATGCCATTTGAACCTGGTTCATTGGTTTGGCAGACATTGCTTGGCGCTTGCTTAGTTCATGGCAATTTAGAGACGGGTAAACGAGCAGCCGAGCGTGCATTGAATTTGAATCACAATGATCCATCGACTTATGTTTTGTTATCGAACATGTTTGCTGGTCGTAGTAACTGGGATGGTGTGGGAAGTTTGAGAGAACTAATGGAAACTAGAGATGTAAAGAAAGTACCTGGATCCAGTTGGATGTAAACATGAGAAGAACTACTGATTAGTTCCTTCTTATTTTTTAAGATTTTGTACCAAATAAGTTGTTTAGTGCACGAGATCTAGTTCCCCCAACATGTTTATCTTTCAGGAAAGTGATGTTAGTGTGTGATTTGTTTTCCTATGGTAGCTTCTAGTTTTAGGATGAGATGAGATCTGTTAATTATATGTATCAAATGTGGTGGTCTAAATTTTTCGATTATTTAGAATTCATCTGGTAACCTTTTTATTTGTTAAAGAGTTAGTTTGATAAATAATTGTTCGTTTCTTTTATAACGTAAGTTTAAATACTCTTTTGGTCCTTGAAGTTTTTGTTCATGGTCCCTTAACTTCCAAAACGTATATTTTGGTTCTCTATACCTTTAGCTTTGGTCTATCTTAGTTATTATACTTCCTAAAGGTTCATTTTGGTCATTGGACTTTACGAAAGCAACCATTTTAGTCCTTCCATTTTCATTTCAATCTAGGGACTAAAATGAACAAAAATTGAAAGTACAGAACGTATTGATCAAAATGAACCGAAGTCGAAACTACGTAGACTAAAATAGCATTTAAACCTATAATATACTTCTCAAAAACAAAATTTGTAATATTTTAGTTAGATTCTAACACAAGTTTTCTGTGACATAGTTGATTTATAATATGATTTGATTGCTTATTTGGAAATTTTTATTATGGTACTGCAATAACAAATTTACCCTTTGATATTCAAATAATTTTTCTTTTCTTTTCTTTTTTCCTATACTGAAAAGTTCTTTATATAATTATTCATCTGCCTTTTAAGATTTTGCACCAAAAGATAAGTTGTTCGCATGAGATGACTACCCAACATGCTTCATCTTTCAGAAATGTTAGTGGGTGACTGGTTTGGTTTTCCTATGCTGGCTTTTAGGATGGGATGTTATTAGGTCTACAATCTCCATGGATATTTCTCTAAATATATTGAAATTTTGTAAACCAGATTTTAGGGGCGATATATTTTCTTTTCCTCCAAAGTTTCGTGAAATTTTTAAAAACAATTAAAATATCAACAGTATGATCTATAATCTACTTGAAATTTATGTGATTTTTGTAATTTTTCTTCAAATATCTATTGCTATTTTCACTGATATTTTTTTAGATATGAGAGTAGTTATTATCGTTGTCGTTTTTCTTTTTTTTTTTAATACAACAATGAACAATTATAGGGTATGAAAATTTGAACCTCGAACCTCGATAAAAAGAGAGAATGTTATTTACCGTTAAGCTATATATATTCGATAATTATTGTATCTTAATTGTATAGTTGCGTTTAATATTAATCTTTTATTTCAGTTTGTCACAAAAATATAAGTTTAATGATGCTTTCTATGAATTGAAGTTTTTTTTTTGTCTAAAAGGATAAATTAGATAATTGAAGTTTGCTATTTAATTTCGTTTTTCTCTATTTTATTATTATACCTAAGACATGTGTAAAGTAATTATGTCAGCTAGTTCAACGGATTAAGTCATATTTTTTACCAAAAAATCATGTGTTTAAGACTCTTTCTACTTAAACAAAATTATGTGAATTGTACGATTTATAAAGTAATTATATCAGCTAGTTCCACTAATTAAGTCATATATTTTTCTACCAAAAAATCATGTGTTTAAACTCTCACCGTACTTAAACAAAATTATGTGAATCATACGATTTATATAGTATTTTAATGTTTGAATGTAAAGCATTTCGTAACTTTTTTTAATACTACATCATAAATGAAGATTTTTTTTATATATATTCGTGGTGTCAGATGACATATAGGAATTACAAATTCTTAAAATATGTGGCTATCATGGGATTTGAACTCATTCAATGTCCCTTCCTATCTCCGTCCCCAATTCAATCATCATCTTCAGGAAATTTTACAGTATATTTTGTCATGATCAAGCTCCCCTCTTATTATTATTGTTTTTTCAAATAATTTTTAAAATAAAATTTAATTAGTTCTTGTCAATTTATCTAAAGTATTAAAATATAAATGTGTAACTTAACAGTATACCAACAACAAATTCGAAAAAAAAATATATATATATACACACATATATACAAGGATAAAAGTGATGCAAATTACAATAATCGTCGTAATTAGATATTAAAATTACAAAAACATTACAATAACTATTTTCATGCCCAATATTTCAAACCTCTTTTACTCATTTCCATGTTTAATTTCATCTTCATTCTACATAAGGGAGCCTAATTTAATGATAGTTGACGTATACTGTCAAAATTTCCATGTTTAGTGAGCATGGCTCAATCATAGTTGACGTAAATTTTCAGGTCGTGAATTCGATCCCTTACTAAAAAATCTCAATTAATATATATGTATATGTATTATATAATTTTAAACGTACAGAAATTTTATTGCTGAATTTCGTCGCCAAGAAGAAAACGATTTTTGTAAAAAGTAAAATAGAATCTGGTAATCTCTTCCTCTGGTCTTCCTCGCTTCCTTCTCCGCATCACTCGCGCTCGAATTTCATAACACCTCCCACCCTCCCTCCATCTCTATTTTTTCTTCTATCGTCAGAGCTCGAGAAATATCTTAATCTTTAATCTCCAGGTTTTTGTTTTTCTCGGAATGTCTTCTTCCGGTGGTAACTCTGGCGACGGAGCTGGTGGTGGCGCCGCCTCACATGGCCCTCAGCTCTACTTCTGCCATACCTGCAATCGTACCGTAACCATTACTCCCTCTTCCTCATCCGATCTTTTGTGCCCCAACTGCAACGATAGCTTCGTTGAAGAAATGGAACCTTCAACCCCTAACCCTAGTCATGTTCCCAATCCTTTCCTATCCTTCACATCCGACGCATTTCCGCCGTTCGGCGCCGGTGGCGGTGGAAATGGCGGTTTCCCGATCATATTCTCCACGACGTCATCCTCCGGTGGCATTGGCGGTGGTGGTTCAATGATGAATGATCTATCGGCGCTCTTGGGAGGTGGTTCATTTCGATCCTCGTCCTTGCAAGACCCAGACGGTTTCAATCCGCTGCTCTTCCTCCAGAACTATCTCCAGAGCGCTAATGTTCAATTGGTAATCCAAAACGCCTCGGGAGAGGCGTTTCATCCCCCTTCCAATTTCAATCTTGGAGACTACTTCTTTGGCCCGGGCCTCGAGCAGTTGATTCAACAACTTGCTGAAAACGATCCCAACCGTTATGGAACCCCTCCTGCTTCTAAGTCGGCGATTGAGGCACTTCCAAACATCAAAATTTCGGAGGAACTGTTGGCCTCGGATTCATCGCAGTGTGCTGTGTGTAAGGACACGTTTGAGCTCTACGAGGAGGCGAAACAGATGCCTTGCAAACACATATACCATCCGGATTGTATTATTCCTTGGTTGGAATTGCATAATTCTTGTCCAGTGTGTCGATATGAACTGCCTACAGATGATCCCGATTATGAGCAAAGGACTCGTGGGACTTCAGCTCCTAATCGAAGTCAAAGCGAAAGTCAACCCTTTGGCGATTCTTCTACTGATGGGGAAAATGCTGGTGGAAGCGATCCTAATTCCAGCGAGAATTCACAGACGCAACAAATGGGTGAGCGGAGGGTTAGGAGGATATCTTTTCCTTGGCCCTTCAGAGGTTTTGGTTCGGCCGCTGAGACTAGTAATAGCGGAGGTGGCAACAATAGTGGAAACAGGGACGAACCTAGCTCGGGAAATAGGGGAAGTCACAACTCTTCGGAGCCTATGCAGGAAGATCTTGATTGAGGATTACTGGTATTACATCTCAAATTATTTCCTTCCCTTTTGTAATGTTATCATAGCTAGTTTGTACAAACGTTTGAATTTTATAAAAGTAATATTAGCAAATGAATTTCTGTTCTTTGGGTAGAAGGGGAAAATATACTAAACAATTACAGTTCATTAACATCTTTGGTGAGACAGATGGCTTGGCACTTAGAGTTCGATCAAAATCACCGGTTACTCCTTTTCATAACCTTCGTTTCGTTTTCCGTTCTGAAGTACTCCAGAAGCTAACTCTTTTCTGTATTTGATTGTCTATACATGGAAGAAAGTAGTTCTTAATTGAATTTTATCTGAAACATTATGACTTTGAAATGGGTCTTACTCCCTATTTTTAGAACTTCCATCAATTTTTCTTTGGTAAGTTGTTGCTTTATTGTGTTCATGACATGATGGAAATATTCCATTGACATAATTATTGTTGATTTTAGTTTTAATTTATTTGAACAAGTCCATGCTGTGCCAAATATTTTGAGGTCATGGATTCCATCGCCCTAGGTTTTGCTTTTAAATGCTTAAAGAAATGTCATTGATTCACTCTACTTGGCTGGGATCTTCTCCAACAAATAGAATTCAAAATAGAACCAGCCTTATAAAGGGTTCACTGGAGTTAGTTGCTTATTGATCCTTGGGTGAAACATACTTGATATACATATTACACTTATATGGTGGTATTATGACTTAAATATGACAAGAACGGATAATTAGGGAGTTCATGTAGTGTTGTTGACCTTGACCTCATGATAATGTTTCACTCTTTATGCAAAATGGGAAAATCATTGAATAGCTTACTTTTCCAAACAAATAGTTTTTTGTGATTGATGGTAATCATGAAGCAAGAATTCGCTGACTTGAGAATGTCTCATAGATGTGTATATCCTATTTTAGAGATTGGAATGAGACTTTAAACAAGTTTGTCTAAAAACTTTCTCTGTTTTTTTCCACTTTCCCATACATGGTTTATACTTTATAGTAACTCGTCAAGATCATATATGTTTCATATTCTAGATCATGGTTTCAAGCTCGGTTCGTAATTGGTTATTACCACACTTGCATTTGATTTGATGCTTATTTTGAATCCGTTTATATTGAAAAGTTTTATAGGGATAATGCAAAACCTTTAATAGATGCTCGTGGTAAAGTTTCAATCATCTTTTGGTTACTTCTTTTTGGTGTCAATTAGTACTTATCTTCTGTTTAGAATTTCTTGGCATCTCATCAGTAAAGCATTAGCACACCATCATAAATTGTTATTATCTACTTCAAAAAATCATCCTTGGATTCTTTCATAACCAAGTCTTAGTCCTAACTGCAATCCAGAATTCTCTGAGCATATACTCGGGATGGATTAATGTGATATGTGGAGTCACATTATTCCTACTTGTACTTGCTCTTACCCAATTATCTCTACTCTGGCAATCATTTGTTAGTTCTCTTTTTGCTAACTCATTGTGGTTGCCTTCTAGAAATTGAAACAATAGATACCAATTATTCTTAATGCCCTTATCCCTACTCTGGCAATCATTTGTTAGTTCTCTTTTTTCTAATTCATTGTTGTTGCCTTCTTAATGCCCTTTTCTCATCTCAATTAAAATTCATCCACCGGGTAGGAGTTTATTCTGTGTTTGACAACTTCTGTTGGGTTATAAGATAAAACATGTTTGTTAAGTATCTCAAGTATTTATCTTCACCATCATTGTCAGTTCAGTAATGACCTTTGCTCTGTCTACATATTGCTCAACGCTTATGTGGAGATTATGTGAATCAGTATTTGCTAATATAGCAGTTTCCTTTTTTACTCTAGTTCATTTGGTCATATGAGCGCACAGAATATATCAGATTTTAGAGCAGCCGCCTCTCTATTCCCTCCCCCCAAATCTTACTTTGTTCATGTAGCTTTTAAGGAGCCTTTCTTCTCCAATGACTGGCTGTGACACTTTCATTTTGTCCTTTTTCATCTGTGTAGAGCTTAAAGATCTTAACCGTTGCTTGATTTTCTGTCTTTAGGTCATTGAATGGTACTACCAATGAGAGTCATCCACAAATCATCATGTCCATGCCTTGGTATATTTATATGTGATAAGATTTGAAGAGTGAAATCAGATACAATAAGGGCAGGACCTTGAGTGAATTTGGAGTTCTATTAGATGTGGACCTCTGGGTATTTGTATCTCAATCCTTTTACAAATAATGACATTGGAAGTTATTTATTGACATTTTTTTTTTGCAATAAACTTGTTATTAATTTCTGTCATTGAGAGTTAACGTACAAATTTTTGCAACTTATCTTATGCTTTTAACAAATAATTTATGATGTTTTATAAATCTGCAACTTATTTTACTCCAGCTTGCACATTTCCCTGCCTGAACACTTTTAAGAAAATTTTGTGCTTGGGTTGCCCGTATCTGGATTAACTATGGAAAACAGCAGCCCACCCTTTTCTTTTTTGAACTCGTTTAGAATGAGGTTCAGTGCTCTATAAGTTCCCTAGGCAATCTCTCGGTCTTGCAAAGCTATTTCTTTATAAAAATATCCAGCATCCTCCTTTCTCTAGAGGAGATCTCTGAAGTCGTCTGGGTATGGACAGCAAGTCAAAGCATGGGTTCAAAAGTACCTCTTGGTGCAGCTGAACATATGTCTTTAAATTTTTTCTAAGAATTGTCAATTTTAATATGTAATCTCACAACATTCATAAGGTGAGGCTTGAGATGAACTGATACCCTGTTTAATGCCATCCTCAGACCCTTGTTATGGTCTGTAGCCTCTCTGTTGTCGGGTAGTTTTATCACTGTAGTTCTGCACTGCTGCTAATAATTGCTTCTCTTGTTCATGTGTGTAAAAAGGCACGATTCCTTCTTTTGTTTAATACTGTCCTGAAATCTGGTTGGGGGGGGGGGGTATGTACTTAAATCCTTGAACTGTGTGCCACTCAAACAACATGCTTAATTTGATTTTCTTAATCCAATGGTTCCCTCACCCCCACCCACCTTCTTTATTCCTTGGTATGATTTTGATATTGCTGGAATGAGGAACCTCAATGGTTGGTAAGCCCTTTCACCTCCCATCTGCCAAATGTTGGAAGGTTAAGTGATAGTTTTTGGTCTCGACTTTTGATTGCTTTAGATTGGAGATTCTAGGTCTCAAGGAAAATTTAATTTGTTGATCTGATGAAGTGATTTCCTAAACTTCTGTGCAACTAAATGTCTCTCTTTTATTCTTTGGCAGGTGTGCAAGTGATTTGAATCTGGAACCATTACTGAATATAAAAAACATCCTTATATGTTCATTATTAGAGTTTTTCCATTTATGAAATTTGACTATAATAATCTATAGGTAAAGGTCCTATTTCCATTTTAGAGTTGAGAATTCTTTGTAGATGAAGGAATTTATGTGCATTATTTTGTTTGAGAAGGTCTGTAAAACTTTTGCATCTCCAGGAACCATTTCATAGGTTGAAATGTTGTATGCTTCACACGACTTTTCTGCACTCCCCTTGTTGGTTTAGTCACACTTATGAGTTATTTCATGCTGTTCAGTGGTATATCAATCAACTGATCTCTCTCCTCTCCCTCCATCCCTCCTCGAGCAATATTGTGCACAAATAAATTGTTCAGGAGATCTTCGGCATCCATCGACTGAGTCGATGTGGTTTTCAGAAGAAGTGGGTTGGACGAAAAATATTGGTAAGAAAAAGTATATTAATTCAGCAAATTACTTCTACTTTATCTGTATCGAGTCGAGTACTCTCTCGTTTCGGCATTCTTTCCTGATGCATTCACATTTGATATCGGCCACACTTATTTTCTTTATTGTGCATAGATTGAGTATTGCCTCTTGTCGCCCAACAGTGACATCTCATCCAACACAATATATGGTCAATTTCCCATTTTTTTTCAACAACAAAAATGTCAATGCCACATCACATTCACTACTGAATGAATCTTCACACATCTTAAACGCCTTAAATTATCTACTGTGGATCTGAACTGTAGATATCCCATTTCCCATTCACAAAATATCCTCGTTTTGGTTAGACTTATTCACTTCTGCTAGGTTTTCTCTCAATTTCCCAAGTTGGAAGGTGAGATTAAGGTCTCAATGTGATTATGTTAATTAAGATGTTTTCCTTATATTTTTTAATTTCTATAAAATTAAATGGGTACTTTCTTTTATTTATTTCAAGAGGGCCCATATAATACCTTTTGTTTATTATTGTAATTAGGAAGAGGACCACATATTGAAAAGAAATTATAGGAAATAGACTATAATAAGCAAATGTTTGCCGATTTGTCCTGTTTTAAGAAGTAGATGCATTTTTAAAAAAGCGTTGTTAGTGCTGGAGGACTCTTATTTTCACAGAATCTAAAGGTTTTTTCGTGTATATTTGGCCTGAGTTTGTTGCTTTTGTGAGATTAGTTTCTCAATATCAATTGATTTAGACCATCTGTTTTTAGCTCAACAAAAGTGAGGGATTCCAACTCATCTTGATTGGTTTGAACTATATTTATGTCAGCTATTTGCACCTTCATTTAGATGTCTATAAATGGTATATATTTTTTTCTAAAGTTCAATAATTGTGAAATCGAGAGATTTAACCATGATAATAGGAATCTTATCTACTTAGTTGTATTTGGATGGATTATCTTATAAAGAGTTTTTTTTTTGGTCAACAAATATGTGGATGGTGGGATTTGAACTTTCAACCTTTAGTAACTTAATGAGTTGAATTATATTTGATTGGCAACTATGTTACGAAGATTTACTCCTAGATAAATTTCTTTAATTGAGTTTTTTAACTAATTTTTTTTAGATGGGTACAAAGTAAAAACATTCTTTTTCCTTTTTGACAAGATAAAGTAAAAATATTTCACTGAGATACTTTAAATAGCAAAAATAGGAACATAATCATTTTTTTATTTCCAATAAAATAGCAGAGAATTTAGCTAATCCTAGAATGTAGCATGCAACGCTGAGATTTCCCGCAAGGACCACCGTGTATCCCACCGACAGCTTTAATTTGGATATTTTGACCTAATTTCGTCTTTTATAATAATTTCATAACATATTATTTAAAGAATTCTTAACATTTCGCGTAATTTCATGAACTCGAAAATTTACTTTATATATTTTAGATCATAATTATTAATTTCATATTTTCTTTCCTTAGTATCTCTTCGCATTTTTTATAATACAAAGTATAGAAGATTGAGAAATAAAAATGGATGAAATATGAGGACGATGGTCATATTTATTAAAAAAAAAATTTCCAAGTTTAATTCAAATTAATAACGTCAAAAAGAATTAAAGTAGAGATTGCTTCATTTGATCGACGGAGAGGAGAGGGCGGCGCGTTTTGTGATATGAAGAGCAGTATATCGTACTTCAAATTACAGCTTTGAATTGAAAATCCAATCATTCTCTCCTACTTTCGTTTGCTTTTTATTGATTTTTAAAAAATTCTTCATCGGAGCAAACCGGAGATTTTGAGTGGTAGGTGTTGGTAGGTGAAGATTTTTCTTGGATCCTAGATCCCTGCTCTCCCCGTCGTCGCAATTGAACGAGGAGTTGAAGAAGTTCGAGTAGATGTCCCCGTCGAATAGTTCGGCAAGTGGAATTAGTGGGCATGGAGGACCGAATTACATAGAGCATCAAATTTCCAGAATGGATACTCTCGCCGGCATCGCCATTAAGTACGGAGTCGAGGTAAACCTTTCACTTTCTTTTCTTTTTTTTCTTTTTTTTTTTTTGTTTATTGTTCAGCCGGTGTAGTTTTTATGTTCTCTTTGATTGTGTTTTTCCGAAGTGCTGGCGATTCTTTCTATTGTGATGCCAGACCAGACCAATGGTTGGCGGCACATCTAATTTGATTTTGTGAGCTCTGGAAAATCGGTGTTTAAGTTTATTGTTATCTCTGCACGCAAATGGAATTGAAGTGCATCTCGATTTTCTGGACATTTCGAAATCTTCGAATTTAGAATCCGATGAGAAGGTGATTTCAGCACGTCTTATTGCAGAAATATTTATCAACTATCAAACGCTATTTCAATTTTCGCACATGTATATTGTGAACATAATAGTTCAATTGCAAGGATTCAATTGAATCATGTGTTTAATTTCGTTTGGAAACATAAAAAGGCTAACATTATGGCGAAATATTTGCGTGTTTTTGTGATTCCAATCCTATAAGCTGTGCTACTCTACTAGACGTAATTTAACTATGTTCTGTTGCCCCACTTCAGCTCTGAACTTCATTGGTTTGGAGGTGACTTTTGGTCGGTTGCATTTGGCTGAGTGGCAAAGATGATCAAGCGAAACAGTGGAAAGTTCGTATTAGATTTTATTTGCTCACAATCTCGTTAACTAAAATGCCAGGGTGTCCGTATGAATAAATAAATCTTTTTTTTGTAATTTTCCATTATCGTCTTGCTTGCTGAAGTTTCCCTCATATTCTTTTAAACTGTAATGTATCTTGAATATATAAAATTCTAGCGAGGTTGTTAGCAAGTTCATGCTTACTGAGAAGTTAGTTTGAATAATCATCCCCAAATGGTTGATCCTAGATTCACTTGTCAATCTATTTGTCACTGTTATGCTTTCTTCTTGTGATGTAATATTTGTTTATCCCACCCTAATGCTCTTAATTTCATTACTCGTTGACTCTCTAAAATATATAGGTGGCTGACATCAAGAGGTTGAATGGCTTGGCAGCAGATCTTCAAATGTTTGCTTTGAAGAAACTGAGAATTCCTCTACCAGGAAGACATTTACCATCACCAAGCTTGTCTGATGCTTCTGTCATTACAGGGTATTATTTGCTGGGAATTTCTACTAGAATTTATTTCTATTTGTGATTTGTGATTAAGCTTTCAGTTTGCCTATGTTTACTGCTCATATCTCATGTGCTAAAGCCTGACTTAGTCAAGTCAATTGGCGGAATCCTAAAGTAAATTTAGGATATACACATTGAAGCTTGGGTTGGGGGTGGGAAATGGGAACCTTGAGAATCTTATTGTTGCTCCACTGCATATTTTTAGGAATCAAGGAACTACTCGTGTGCTTAGTTAATTTCAAATGACAGACCTGTTGAGTAGGATTATGACACTGTCCGAGCCACCCTAACAACTTAAGGTGCAACAAATACCTTTACTAGTTTGTAAATTTAAGGCAGCGGTGATAATAACATTTGCCATCAAATACCTTTCATTCCTAGAGGATGTAATATCCGTTTGAAGTATAGTGTTTCACTACTTTCTTTTTTAATGGCCGAACTTTCCGTCATAAAGATTCAACACATCATGTTGTTTCATTTAAAGCAGATATTTGACATTTGAGAATTTTGATCATTTCCAATTTCTTGGAGATTTCAACCGACTTACCTTCCTTTATTTGAAAATTTTCTTGATAGATAAGTCCTATTTGTTCTGGAAGTAGTAATGTTAGTTGAACATAGGTTAGACTGCAGTAGTTGTTTAAGAAACTAATTATCGTTCGACTTCCTAGAGATATTGTAGTTATTGATTTGAGTCAGATTATTTTACAGGACTTGTATAAATCATTATGCATAATTTGAGCATCTACCATGTTGATATTCGTTGCACAAAGTTAGTAATTATTGGATAGCACCACGGTAACAATTTCCCTTTATAAAGAAGGGAGGCAATATTCCTTTCTTTTTTCTTGTTTTGTTATTCATATATCTGCACTTTTGGGATGGTATAATCTGTTCACCATGGACCATAGATTGAACATTTCCCAGAAAATCTATAATTCAGGTTTATCTGATCTATTTTGCCAAATGTATTGCAGAAGTGGACCTGTAAATGAAGAACCTCTACATTTAGGCCAACCTACTAGTATGCTGAACTCCTTGCAATCTCTGAGATTGAAACCACCTAACCAGAAAGCCTCCTCTGCCATGAGCACATTACAAAAATACTATGGCCTAAAATCTCAAACTCTCGAGCGTGCATCTGAAGGTATGGAGATGGCAGTATATAGAACTGAAAACTCAAATGGCAATGATGATGGGTTGTTTCTCAGAACCTCTGTGCTTTCTATGCCACCTCCGAACATTCACCCAAAGAACAGGAAATATGCTGGTAGTTTCTTTCCTGAGAATGACTCAATAACCGAACACCTACTACTTGCAGAACCTGGAGATGGAGAGAGTGAGAAATCTGATGAGAAGTTAGTTCGAAGGCGTCAAAAGACTGAAGTTGACAATGGGATTGGCACCCCAGAGAGATTGTTGAAGGGCGAAAATAGTGGTGGAGGCTATTTTTCCGCTGCTTCAAATGGAAAGGGTTTAGCCATGAGGCCAAAATCAGTTAGCAGATCCATGCTGCTACCAGATACAGATCCGGTATGGATAAATTCCATTCCAGTAGGATTAGGAGATGCTATAATTACCGATGGCATTTCAGAAGTTCATAAATCATCAAGTACATCAAACCTGAGAGACCAAGATAGCAATAATTCAGCATCCGTGTGGCCAACTACAAAGTGGAGTTTGAAGCCAGATTTGCAAGCTCTCTCAAGTGTTGCAATCTCAAAACCCCTATTTGATGGTCTGCCAAATCCAATCACAGGCCGCAGGAACAAAGCTGCTCTTGATTAACCATGTTCATAACTCTGTTCATATTCACATTCATCGAACTGCTTTGATTCTTTTCGTGTGTCCAGGAAATTCTTTTGCGTGTAATATTTACAGGAGTGTATAGGTAGCAGTGCAAAATAATAGAAGATTGATTGTCCGAGGAAGTTGACATAAGTAAATACTACACTAAGGTATTTTTTTTTTTGTCAAGATTTGAATCATCTGGGAAAAGGTACTGCCTACGAGAGCCTATTTTCAGCCTGAAGTTGCAGGCTTGCAGTTTGAAGAACTTAATTTATTTGTACTGAAAACTATACGATGTCATTAAGCTTCCATGAGAATATAGCTAAAATTTAAATTCTTGATGTCGAGAGAGATTTTAGATTCCGTAAGTAACCCAGCAAGTGTATTCTAAGAAGGGTTTGTTTATCCAATGTTGTTGTCCCACATAGATTATGATGAATTTCTTCAAATCTCTCTGCTGCTGCTCTGCTTCAACAATAAGGCATAGAGCTAAAATTCCATCAAATATCTTGTGGTCCAAATTAGATGAACGATCTCTATCTTCTTTATTTATTAAAATAAATAAATAAATAGAACTCAAAGTAAGCTTTGTTCTACTACACTGGTGACACTCACACCTTCTCAAGACATCGAGGATTTTTTTTTTAAGTTTACTCAAAAGTTCAAAGATGCAATCTGAACCTCTTGGTAAGTATTACTCATAGCTGATGCGATCTGAACCTCTTGGTAAGTATTACTCATAGCTTTACCAATGTACCATCGCTCTGCGCGATCTCACCTTATTATTAAGCCAATACGCACATTTATTTTTTAGTTACGGGGTTCACCTTTTCTGGAGTTCGCACATTTATATTTCAACTCGAGCGAGTACAAAGGGTGCTTTTTCTCAATTAAATTTATTGATTTCATACCATTATTTATCAAATAATTGAACTAAAAGGTCAAATTTACTTTGATACCGAGTCTTCATCAAGCCAAAATTCTTCACCATCATCCCCTACTCAAAACCTTAAACCTAATCTTAAAGTGTTGAAAATCTACCGATTAAACCCGTGGCGATATTAATCCGACTCGGGAACGAAGTAAAAGGAAAGATGGAGCAAAATAACCAAGCATCAAAGACTGAAGGGGCTAATGGTTCTCTTCTGAAAGAAAAATCTCCCAGCAGATCATATGCTGAGTAGCAACCAAGAATTAGGTGGATGCGTGACTTGGTTGCACCAGCATGGTTTATATGTTGTCAATCTAACTATATTTAAATCATAAGGAAAGGAAAGAATCCGTCATTCACCTCTGAAAAGAAGTCAAAATATTGACGCATTCAATACTACAGCTCAAGTTGTAAGCAAAATTCCAGTTTTACTTTCACTAGCAGAACACTATTCCAAGACTCGCTCAGAGTTCCATCTCACTTCACTTATATAGACCCGTGATCCAAAGAGATGTGTGAAGGGGAAAGAGCAATCACCACCTGTTATTGGGTGGTTTCACTCTGTAAATACGAACGATCCAGTTAGATGTAGTGAAAGCCTCTTCCAAGTGTTCGAGTTTGATATCCTTGTTGCCAATTTCTACTCCTCTGGCACGATCAAACCTGCCATCACAGAGAAGCCAAGTCGGGGAGGGGGGCTTTGCCATTAGTGAACATGTAAAGGCCATTAATGCACTGCAGAAATGCGAAGTAGACATCTCCAAATTTCTAGTAAATCAAAGATGCAACAATAGGAAAAAAAGTTAAGAAAAATCTACATTAGCGAATATGTGGAGGCCATTAACGAACCAAAATAGATGCAAAATGCAGTAGGTATTGATAATCATATATATCTGTAGACTGTAGATCAGTTCCTTTCTGCAAGAACAAGCTTGTGATATGAATGTACATAATGCACTAGCGTATATATTATTCTCCTATGTGTCCATGTCATAATAAACACATGTTGCCTTCGTCCAGAAAATTTTCTTCAGGCATAATGGGGGAGGTAGATTTTGAACTTACCCTGAAGGCTTGCCATATTCTGTTACTAGCTCTCCAAACCGATAATATGAAAGCTTGTACCTAATCACCAAAAGTGTAGCATAGAACAGTAAATCCACAATACTTCATATGAGAAGGTATAAAGGATAACAATAATACACATGCACAAGAATCATCTTCCAATGCTAAGGAACTTACATAAGACAATTCAACATCTTGGGAGTTGCCCCTTTGTCAACTCGATACTCTCCATTTGCCAGATAATCGGGCTCTTTGATTACAGGGAAAACACCACCTCCAATTCTCACCATCCACAGAAATCTAACATGATATAAAAATTTTATAATATAACACATGTTGCAATCGGAAAGTATGTATTGGGTATCTTGTTATGGGCAACGACGTAAAATCAGAGTTTGCATAGACATAGAATAGTCACTCATATGCCATGATGGTGGGAGCACATGCCAATCGTTCTGCCATAAAGAGAAACAAAACCGTTCACTAGAAAGGGAAAAAAAAAAAGGTGAAATGCCCTTACTTGTTAATATCATCTGATGAATAGCCAGTCACACCACCAAAGACAACTAGCACATAATCCACATCAAGTGATCTCATTATTTCATATGCTTCATCTTCATATGAAGACATTGCACGTCCAACAGTAGCAATATGTGTATTATTCCAGGTATTGTTGTCAACAATGACAGTTCTGTTTCCCATTGCTGTGATTTGGTACCCATAATCCCACCATGACATCACCTTAGCATCTGGAGGAGTATTCTGTCGGAGCCAAAAGTATGCCTCACGGTAGTCATCAAAGATAACCCTGTTACCATGGGCACCCCGTGCAGCCAAGACAATTGATGGAGATGAATAAGCTTCTGAGGTGACCCATGTACAGTGGGTCGCATACTTAGAAAGCAAGTAAAAAGCACCAAAGAGTAATGCAATAGCACCATTCCTTTGGAAAGGCTGGGATTGATCAAGAGATGCCTGTTGGTTGGGAGGGAATAGAAAAGTTAAATGAGATAGAGAAAAATGGAGATTCTCTCTTATGTATATACATAGAAACCAAGCTGATAATTTTTCAATGTAGTGCCCAAACATCCACAATGAGAAGAGTTTGTTAGTCATTGGCCTAGATAGATTCATGGTTTAACATCTTTCAACATATAGTTTCTGAATGTTCATGGTTTTTTAATATAGTTTCTGTTTCTTATAAAAAAAAATTGAAAGAAAAAACATCTTTCGCCATATTAGTGCAACTCAAGAAGATTTGTTAGAAGAAAAATCACCCTAACAAATAAATGCGTAAATAATTAGTTAGATAGAGTATTTGATGTGAATATGGCATTTAAACAATTCAATGCCAATCAAGACTGGATTGGACTAAAAACTGTATAAAAAATGGTATTGACCCTACATATAAGGCAGATAACCATAGCTGGACTTACTTTAGAGGAACTCTTCACATTGCTGGCTCCTTTATTAGAACTAATCTGAGAAACCTTTGGTTTCGCCCTCAGTAGCTGGGTCAAGTTCTTTATTGTAGAAGAGACAGCTATAGCACTGATAAGGCATACTGCAGGCGTAGCAACAAGAATTAACCTTACCATAACTCCAGCAAAGTACATGCTAGTGAGACCATACATGACTATGAAAATTGTTGCATCTGACAAGCGCTTGAAGCAAAAATAGAGTCCAGCTGGGAAAAGGAAAAGCAAAATATGGAAGTCAAACATGAAAGATGACCAAGCAGTAGGTTGATGCTCAGAGACAGATGCTATTATAGGTATATGATCTTTCGCATATGTTGGATCCAGAAGAGAATAGAATCGGCCAGTCCATGGGGATATATACCCCGACGCAGTGCCAACTCCCAAAGCAATAGTACCCACAACAACTGCACTAGTCACGGTGATCTTCAAAAAGGCTTGAAACAGTTTGGTGTCGTTCAGCATGTACTTCACCCAGTCCAAGAAGTAAAACACCTGTAAGACAGGTCGATTAGCTCAACAAATGAAATGACATGCATTCAACAGCCACTGAGATGCCATAAAAACACTTTTTCTCTTCACTACCCAGTTCCCACCTAGGTAGCTATGAACCATTGTTTTATATGAGCAAAAAGTGTACCCATGTACAACACAGGGACAGAGACAGAGTAAGCAAATGTCGATACTCAACATTCAAGCATTCTTCAGCTACTCTTGGAATCAATGCCATGACGGGACTAGTAAAATTTTAGTTTCTTTACCTTGTAAGATGATGCTACACTTCATTATATAATAACTCGGAGAATCCAAACTAATTTCTTCGCTAAACGCTGCTACACGATAAACAAGAACCAAATGAATAGAGAGACAATGAAGAATTATAACCTGAATCAAGAAGAAGACGCCCATCGCAGCCATGTGCTCCCCTGACTGAACATGCTGAAAACCAACAAATCGAATCTGCATGGCGAGCAACATCCCCAAGATATACATACAATTATACGCAACATACAATCGCATCGAATATCTCCCCGTTATCAGAAGAACCAGAACATAAAGTGGAATCAGGTTAATTATAAATACATAGCCACCCCAGGCCGAAACCATGTAAAAGTACCCAAAAGCCGATGCCAGGGCCCAAGCGAGAGATCCACTATTCACCGCCTTCACGAATAGATAGAAAGTCAACAACAACGCGAAAATGGCGACGCCTTCATTATCGTACGATCCCGCAACAGATCTCGAAATGTAACCTGGGCAAATTGCGATCAAAGCAGCCGCAACGAGTCCAGCACCCGAGTCCCAGATTTCTTTACCGAAAAAGTAAGCAACCAATGTGGTGTTTGAGGCGAAAAATGGAGCCGTCAATACGCAGACTTCACGGATATGCACTGCGAACTTCAGAAAACGCAGGCCCCAATAGATAATAGCCGCCGTGACCATGAGTCCAGGGTAGAGGGTGCCTCCAATGATTCGGCCAAGAGGGTACCAACTCTCGGAATCAAACCAATTCCAGAATTCGTAAAAGCCCTTCTGCGTGAGGAAGAGCGTAGTCCGGTAATTGAAGTAGGGATCAAACTCATGGATCATGGACTCATACCGCAGAACACTGAAGAGCCTAGTAATGAAGGCCAAAACATAAACGAGGCAAAGGATTGAGACCCGGATCAGCAGCTCCTGTTGCTTGGTCTTGAGCTTAAATGATTTAAAAGACAAACTGTTCAACAGATCAGATTTAACATTCGACGCCATGGTTGCAAAGTTGCTCGAATTGTTCGATCCAGATTTAACAGAACCATTGACAGGCTCGATCTTCCCAGCCATGATTGGAAAGATTAAAGAAAACGTTATAATTTAAAGTCGCAATACGAAAATTGAAATTCAGTTCACCGCTGCGGAATTCCCATGGAAGGGTTTTGCGAATGGAGAAATGGAGAAATGGAGCAAAACCCTAGAAAACTACAGATGATGGAGAAAAGGCAGAGCTGAATCTAGGAACACTGATACTAAAGCGAAGAAGAGAGCGGAAAGGGTTGCATCAAACTGAATCTCGTTTAACACGAGAGGATGACGACGAGTTGGAGTCGATACTTTTGCTGGGTTTTGAATTTTCTGTATGGGCTAGAATTGGGCCTCACAAATGATTGGACTTGGGCTTGGGCTTGGCATTTACACCAATCTATTGCAAATTTCTCGCTTCTTTATTTCTATTTTTTATTTATTTATTTATTTTTGAATAATTGTCTTTTGGCATTTGATATTGTGTACCAAATATAGCGACGATACTGAAATAAATTAATTGGAACCGTTGATATGAATTATGAACTGAAAAACACACGTGTCATAATCTATTGTATGTGCGTTTTTTTTTAAAAATAATCTGTGCGTTGAAATTTAGTTGAGATTTTTCGGGAGGATATGAAATTAATTTCCTGATAATTTTTTTAACTATATATTTTTTCTGAGCTCCCCCGGGCCCCAAAAAAGAAAAACATACAACTTCTCTTATTTCCATCATTTGCATGCATGTTATTTTATTTTATTATTTATTTATTTTTATTTAAGAAGAGAATTTCATTAATCAAGCGAATATTTGAAGGGAAATCACCCTTAACAATATTCAAAAGCTATGAAGGAAACTTTTTGAACCAACTAACAGTGGCTAAATTTTGAACTCCAAATTGTGCCAGCTCCTAAGCAGGTTTATTGACAATGATGTTGAATGATAATTTTTAGAGAATTTCATTAAAAATGATGTTGATTGATCGAAAATGGGTCATTTTGACCCTCCGGTATGACAATTTTCATAATATCTTATTCAGAAAAATATGTCTTAGTATTTATTGATGGTTAGGAGATTTTTCAATACTGGCAGCGGTTTCACAAGGGTTTGAAGAAAAAGCCTTTTGGTCTATAGGCTATTTGTGTTTGTACACGCACTCTGAAGAAGGAAGATTCATTTGATTTTCACACTACATAACAAAGATGGGAGGCAAACAATATTACCTCTCGAATTCGATCTAATTCCGATAATACAATTTGAACAATTATCTTTAAAATATCCAAAATGGAGGCATACCACATTGGCAAAATATAATAACTTGATATAATACGGAAAATTGAATCAAACATAAAGTGTCTCTACGTGAGTTTTAAAATGAATCTCAGCAGTGAGAGGCTCTGAATCTTGACAACCAAAGTTGAGTACCTTATTTGAAATTTTACACCATTTCTGGTGGAAGCAGGAACTCGAAATTTTGTGCAAAATGGAAGTATGGAACTTCGAAATCTGAGGTTCTGATTTGCAGACTAACTAACAAGGCCTCTCTGTTTGAAAACATCAAGCATTGTAACCCCAATTTTCGCAGGTGACTCCACCACTGTCACTCCAGCTTCTCGTAGTGTCTTAATTTTGTCTTGGGCTGTACCTTTTCCACCTGATACAATGGCTGCACAATCCAGAAGCAACAAATATTATAGTTCTATTACCGCTGCAAGAATTGACAGGCATATAATTACTTCTTTCTTTTCACTAATAATTAAAAGGTGTCCCCCAACATAGTACTAACTAAAAGGGGAGGTTAGGAACCATCAAACACTACACTACTGCACAAGAAGAGTTGGGCCAGCAATGAAAGGTAACGATAGAAGAAAACTGTGACTAAGAGTCCACATATTACAACAAACTAATCAATCTAAAAGTTTTGAGAACAGTTTACATACCACCAGCATGACCCATGCGACGGCCTGGAGGAGCAGTTAGCCCAGCAATGAAGGCCACAATAGGCTTCTCAGTCCCACTTTCCTGTGATATGACGATAAGTTTTATTTCATTCTTCAAATATCATATTGGTCAATTGGTCTAAACCAATATAAATTAAAATTTTAAGCTTAAACCACAATCTAGGAATGGAAATTCAGTTCATTTACTTTCACATTAGAAGTTAAAAACAGTAATGATATATATATGAGTATCTAGGGCGCAATACTATCCGACTCCAAAACCTCCTAAGTATAAAAGAAACTCTTGTAGTCAAAGCAATTAACGTGGTAATCCTAGCACACTTGTGCAACAGAAGAGGCACACAAGTTATTAAATGTAGCTCAAATAATCCATGACATTCCTGGACTGTCACGGAAAACTTAATTTTGAAATAAAACGTGAACATAATGTTTCAGAAGTTACAATAAGACCTTTAAAGGAAATTGAACAAACCTAGAGCTAATCAAGAAAAGTAGCAAAAGAATTGCTAGTTCTTGAAAACGATGAGTGGGCAAATAAAATTTGTTCAGAAAGCTTTACTGATTAAAAAATTGGACAAAACCTTTATCAAAGCAGCGGCATCCTCTTCAGCAGTCCCACCGATTTCTCCAATTAGTACAATACCTGAAATGGATGGGGCATTGTATCAGAATACGGATATCATTAGCTTTTTCCTCTAGTTGGTAATATTTGCTATGACCAAATAAGAACAAGCAGAGGAGAGATAATATTAGCATGTCTATCATCCATCCAGAACACTTCACATCGTTGATTATCACAAGTTCCCTGCATCCACTCTCTTAACCGGTAACCCTAAATAAAAAATATCTAAGCTTAAAAACCCCGTAGCATTTTGAAGACATGTACTTTTGAAATATTATCATACAATGGGATAAAAGACACTAACAGAGACATGCAAATACTCATAATAGTTTGTGTATCAAGTTGCATCATTATTTTCCAATCAGAATCATGCAGTCAAAATCTAGAACAACAGACCAATAATTCAAAATATACCTTCTGTCTGAGGATCAGCAAGGAACTTCTCGATGCAATCAACAAAGTTTGTCCCATTAAAGGGATCCCCTCCAATACCTACACATGTGGATTGTCCGAGGCCAACAGCAGTTGTTTGGAAAACCTATAAAGACATATTACAAATAGAGAAATTAAATACAAGTACGAGAAGTATCACATATTAAAGGGCATAATGACGATGCAAAGAAATCCCTTGCTTTAGTTTTAAAATTGTAACACGGTAGACAGGCAGAGTTCCTTCACAAAAAGAGAACTGATTAATACTTCAGTTAACTTAGTGTTAAATCAATGAGAACTAACAACAGTAGACCGTTCCTCCATCGAAGGAAAAAATTGATAAGTAATCCCCATAACAGTAGGAGCAGGTATCATGTATTCCTAATACCTTTTTTTTTTTTTTGTGAGAAACTGCACTTTCATTGAGAGAAATGAAAAAAAGAAGAAACTCTGCCTGTTTTCCTAATACCCATTAGACCAGTTCACCATGCTCTTTGTATTCTATATGAAAAATTCATTAAAAAATAATAATCTGATATAATTTTGAGAATACTAAGAGCCTGATATATGATACATATGTGTTCTTTCCAATAATTTTTTTCTCCAATAAAAAACAAATAACCTGTTGATAAGAGAAAGATTACGGAAGAATCCGCCCCTTGATTGATTGTTATAACAAAAATTAGAACTCACCGCTTCATAGGTTAAGGTACCAGATCGTGACACAATGCCAATGCGCCCGGGTTTATGGATGTATCCAGGCATAATTCCAATTTTACATTCGCCGGGCTTGATAATACCAGGGCAGTTGGGGCCAATCAATCTAGTTTTAGATTGCTTGTTTAAAGCAGCCTTAACTCGCACCTGAAATTCATATATATTAGATTCGTATAGCATTTTATATAAGAGGTTGAATAAATAAAATCAGCCTCGGTTTTGATCAATATGAATAGTCAACTTACATTTAATAAAACTATCCCAATAATTTTAGGTTGGAAAACAAAATCAAAACAATTAAATACTTAAATAGAACTACTTCAATCACTGCAGCTAGTTGTGTGTAGGATAGGACATACTTTGGTTAAATCTAGCTGTCTTCTATTTCTTTTCCTTTTTTTTCCCATACAGAAAAAAGAGGGAAGGGGCAAGATAGGGGCTAGGGTTTCTACTAGCTCTAAAATATGATAGTAAATATAGATTACTGTCAGATGGTATGGCACTCTTCTTCCTCCATTCCAGCTAACAGACGTGACAGTAGTTCTTTTTGGCTTATAGTCCAAGTACACACTAGCCTTATAGATTATTGTCGTAGGATTATTTTTGTAAAACTTACAAACTTAAAATATTAAAGAAAATATAGATTATTATCATATGGTATACAAGCTATACTGACTCTTCTTCTACCATTCCAATTAACCAGCCTGACAGAAGCTTTTTCTTTGGCTTATACTCCAAGTACGAACTAGTTTTGTAGATTGTTATTGTATGCTAAAAAATATCGACAGAATTTACTCTTTGTTCCTGGGTCTCTTCTCCAGCATCGTTTTCCAAATGAAATATTAGTTGCTGTCCTACATGTTTATGCATCACGAGTTACCTAAAACCTCCCTTTGGTGTGTTCATACTTTAAGACTTCTTTACAATCACTCTTTCCTTTTTATTATCAACGATCAGCATGTTTCTTTTGTTTGCAAACAATATTTAATTTTACACATCAAATGAGCATACGCTGCCATAACAAAATGTTCCAAATAAATTTGCTATTCTTCAGTATCATAAACCATGAAAAAGCATTCAGGCCAACATATATCATAGTGTTCAGGAATCAGGTAATAATAGTCAACTGTCCAGTATGGAGGCAAATACTGATCATTAGAAACTTCAATTCTCGCTTACCATATCATGCTGTGGGATCCCTTCCGTTATACAAACAACAAGGTCTAACTCAGCTTCCATCGCCTCCAAGATAGCTGCTGCAGCAAATGGTGGGGGAACGTAAATAACTGATGCATTGGCCTTTGTTTCAGCCTTGGCGTCGGCAACTGAGTTAAATACAGGAAGTCCCAAGTGTTCCGTTCCACCCTTCTTTGGCGTTACACCACCTACCTACATCAACAAATAGCATAACGTAAGAACTAATGATTTCCACTTTTATAAATATACAGTTGAGAAACAAGAAATAACATAAAATCGGGGACCTATAAAGAGAATTGTGGGAATGCCTCCTTTAAAAGTCAGACTATAATTCATAAATGGGCAGTTAAAACTCGGAAAAAATTGCAACCAGATTTACATTTAATTGAGACACTGTTTAGTCCAGATCCCATGAGCTAAGTACGCGAAACAAACTTCACATATAGGTCATGAGAACGGAGAACCAAAACAATCCTTGCAGTTGAGAAACAACAAGCTACGTACGAAAGCATTTTTAATGAATCGTCGTTCCCTCCACTCTGGCGTTTTGGGTCCCAGTTCATTTCTAACCTGTATAACAAGTAAAATCACTGTCCGGCACAAAGCCAGATCCGCCACGCCCTGTGGTTTTCTACAGACAATTTGAATTTCAGATCAAATCTATATTAGCAACACACTGTTCTGTTCTATCAGATAATTAAGGATCGTAAGCCAAACATTTCAGAACATCTTCCCGTTTCTGAGGACGGAAAGCGGAAATTTCGCAGTGTGGTAAAAAACATTCAAGAGAGTCTATACAAATATAGCAGAAATCTCTCGAAAACTCGAATAATCAAAACCTTAACTTTAAAAGACATCACGCAGCGCCATGGAACGATAGATATACCATTTTGGTGCCATACTCGATGGCCTGCTCTGTGTGGAAGGTACCGTTTTTACCAGTGATCCCTTGACATAGGACGCGAGTGTTCTTGTCTACGAACACCGCCGGCGGAGGTGGCGGGGCCGCCGCGTAATGCCGAATCTGCGACGCCGCCCGCGAAAACGCAGACGGTGATGAAGATGAAGAAGTTTTGCGATTAATGGCCGATCCTATGAGCTTAGCAACGGCTTGGCGACCCATCCTCTGGCTCCGATTCGCTCCTCTCTTCGGCGCAGCGCAGCCGCCTTCTTCAGACTATCAAGAACTTGAAATTATTTTTCCACCTTCTCACTCTCTCTCCCTTTTCTCCTTCCCACTTTCCTTTTTCCTTCTCTATTTCCCTCTTCTCTACCTCGCCTTCCGTTGCGTCCTTTAATTTTTCCTTTTCTGGTTTTTCTACGCAAGTTGGGTTGTTGAAATGGCCGTTTCTAAATTACGTTTTGGGCTTCGTGTTGTCTGGGCTTGTATTGTTTTGTATAGTTGGGCCTTTGATTTCTGAGCCCATTGGGCTTCTTTTATGTCTTCTTATTTTTGTCAATATGTTTTTTTTAAGTCGTTAATTATTTCTTTTTGTTTTTTTTTCTCCTAGTTCCTAATATTTCTTTTTGTTATATCAAGTAATTGGAAAACTCGTTGTACTCACAAAAAAGAGAAAAAAAAAACTTGGAAAACTCGCATGCAATTAGTGCTTCAAACAATATGTTCAACAGTTGTTAGTAAAATATATATATATAGATACATATATATATATACATAGATTTAAAATATACAATTTTATAGTGATAATGGATGGTTATTTAATATAAATATTTATATTGCTTATTAAATGATAATATTTTAATAAATATAGTAACTAACTAATGCATTTTTTCATAGAATTTAAGGTTTAGTGTTTATATTTTATGGTTTTGATTTTTTATTAAAAAGATAGATTGCTAAGGGTGTGTCTATGGTCAAATCATAGATTCTTACCGAGGTTCAAGAAGACATGTCATGAGTATCGTCGCACTGCAAAATGATGATCTAATTTTTTTTAAGCTAACTTCTAACACTCCAATCTCATATAGCTCTCCTATTCCATTAACTCCAGTTCGAATACTGACTTAAATGAGCACATCATCGATATTAATTTGATTAGTGGTAGGTGATCAATTCAACATCAACGATCGTGACTTTTTTATCAACTTAAGTAGCTATTAAGATAGGTACGAATAATTAAAAAAAAATCCATAGTTTTGCTATCTTAAATTATTATTATTAGTTACAGAGAAAACTAAACCGAAGTAGTAGTCCGTAGCAGACTTTCAGCATCAGAAATGGCGCGAGGGTCATCGTCTTCGAAGAGGGAAGCAACAAACGGAGAGCTCGACCCGGAGGCTGCAACTCGTAAGCGGCTCAAGAAGCTCGCCTTCTCCAACAACGTACTCTCCCAAACCCAGGCAAAGCCTCAGGCGTATCTGAGCCCTTCGGCGACGGTTCTCAAACACCATGGCAAAGATATTGTTAAGAAATCTCAGCGAAAGAACAGGTTCCTTTTCTCGTTTTCCGGCTTGCTCACTCCCGTCAGTGGAGGCAAGATTGGCGAGCTCAAGGATTTGGGAACCAAGAATCCTATTCTCTATCTCGATTTTCCTCAGGTTTATACTGCCTTATTCACTTATGTCTTCCGATTGGGTGTGGTTTTTACTATGAATGGAGGTGCTTGTTCAGTGTAATGATGGTTTAGATAGTGCATTACTAACTTGATTGTCATTTTCATTAATTCCTTATGAATTTGGTAGAAAGACCCGATCTAACGTCTCCAGGTTTCTCCCATGTTACTTCTATACCTACTTTCGCCTTCTGGATTCTGCAAAACGGTCTGAGAAGAGAAGTTGTATTTTCGTGGGAAATAGATTTGGTAAACTTGGAAGGATAGGCGTCGTGAACTAGAAAAGATTAGTCTAATAAGTTTACGTTACTTGCGGTTCCAGTGATTTTTTTTTCCTGATTGTATCCTGGTTTTAGTCTAATAAGAGAAAATTAGGTGCTCAGTTAGTATTTTAGTCCATCATTAAGCTCATTTGACTATGGTAGCTTTAAAGCGAACTACATATGTGATGATTGTTGTTGTTATTGGCTTATTAGTTACGTTTATTTGGAAAATGGATGCACAAGGATATGGTACCGTTATTTTGAGGTGTACATTGCCTTCCTTATGTTTCCAAAAATATCCATTGTTTTATTTCGTAAATGCTGATGTAGATTTTATGTGGTCATCATGCATCTAGTGGTGGAGTCATTCTTACTTATATTTCTTTTACTTTTCAGGGGCGTATGAAGTTGTTTGGAACTATCATGTATCCGAAGAACAGATATTTGACTTTGCAGTTTTCTAGAGGTGGAAAGAATGTGACATGTGAAGATTATTTTGATAGTATGGTTAGTCTTTTTGCTTTTCATTCTTTTCCTTCCTTTTCCAGGAACTTTTTTTCAATTCATTTTCATTTAGTATTTCAATGAAATAAGCTTTCTATGCATGTACGTTGTGAATCAACCAGAATTTTCTCTTACTGCAGGTTGTCTTTTCTGATGCATGGTGGATTGGAACAAAAGATGAAAATCCAGAGGAAGCTCGTCTTGATATTCCTAAAGAATTGACTACAGTATGTTTCTTGATAACTTTTAGGCTCTTAAAATGCATACTAATTTCGTTTCTTGAGTACCCCTACATTTTCCATGTATGATTCTGTGAGGATCTCAGTTTTCAGATCATTTATGTAGCAAAATATTAATAATAATAATTATTATTTTTTAATGGAGTAGATCGGGAGTATTAGTGATGGCAGTAAACATGCTGTAACAGATAAACATTTCATCAAAGAAATATAGACTATAAAATCATCTCCCTCATCTATAGTTTTCACTCCTTTAGGTTACAAAGTACAGAAATTGTTACAACAGCTCAATCCAAAATCAATTTTGAAGAATTAAAACCCAAGCTTGGGTCAATCTACATATATAACCTAGTTTGAAGGGGAGCGGTGAAATTATCCATTGGGCCTTACTTTGGCCAAATATCCTTGCCCTACGTTATCGTTGGATTCATATTTGTATACTTATTCTTTTATTTTGTAGAGCTGATTTTTCCTTTTTTATTTTATTCTTTTCCTCTCAGACACTCTTTACCATTCGTAATTAGCTAGTACAAATTCCAAAGCTGTACCTCCGGATTGATGAGATACAGAAATACACATTCTCCTTTTAATGCTTCAATTTGTGTTTCAATTACTTACAACTGGGGGCTTATATATAAAGCTTCTTGTATGGTTCTTTTGGTGGGTACACTCTTATTTTATTTGGTTTCTTTTCTTTCGAGCTGGTGCTGTTTTGCCAGCTTTACTATTGTACTTCCATTTTTTAAACTGAAGTTGAACTTGAGAGAGAGAGAGAGAGAGAGAGAGAGAGAGAGAGAGAGAGAGAGAGAGAGAGAGAGAGAGAGAGAGAGAGAGATAGAGAGGATATTTGCTAACTCCTAGCTGTTATATGTTAGGGAAAATGTGGAGAATACGACTTCAACGGTGGTGCTGGCGTTACAAGTACGAGTAAGCATAGTGTTCAAAAGAAGGGAATCAATCATGCCGAAGAACATTCTCATAAAGGAGAACGTGGAGATGGCTTAGCGGACCTTGAAGACAACATGATAAATTCAATAAACACTACACCAGTTAGACATTCTGAAAGATCTGCTGGAAAAGTGTTCAAGTATTACCCTTTGCACATGGTTTTACTACATAAATATTATCTCACTATCAATAAGTTAGGAAGAAACAGCGTTTCTTGTCAAATAATATTATGCTGCATGACTTGACCATAATTATAGATATATGTCTGGCACTTCTTAAGATTTGCGACTTTAAAAGTTTAGACTTCAAAATCTGTATCTAAAATGTTCCACATGTATTTAGCTTGTCTTGGGTTTTCTTAGGTGGTCTCTATTTCAAAGAGAGAACATTCTATGGGTTTGTTGTGTATGCTGTTTTTTTGAGAGGTGTGGTTGCAAAGAAATTGAAGAGTCTTCCAATAAATGAGAGATCTTGAAAGGGAGTGAGGGATCTTATTAGTCTATTGCCCACTATTAGGCTTCTGATACGTCCTGAACTTGAGATTGAGACTGGAAACTAAGAAACTCGCGGTTGAAATGTATCATCTTATGGAAGGAAAATACAAAGGCTTACTAGGCATTTGACAGGCTTACTTCTCTCCCTATACTATTTGCAAAATATGTCTATACCCCACCTCTCTGAACCATTATTTATAACCACTGTTCCTTTATGTATGTATGTATGTACAAACATGTGTGTGTATATATATACCGTGAATGTCTAGCTTAGCTTGCATGCATCACTACTAGTATTCCTAACAGCTTCTCTGGCTAAATATTTTTTAATTAACTTATTTTTATGGTCTTAGCTAAATGGGGAACCTTTTTAATTCTGGCTTTTGGGAGGGTTTTATCTTAGGTTATTTATTTTGTTTATGAATGAGATTAATTTCCTTTAAAATTTTTCACGTTAAAATTCTTCACACTCTTGGAGAATGTGCCACAAGTTTGCACTATTGTGTTATCATTGGTCCAATCTACAGCCTTCATCTTATCCAGAAAAAAAAGATCTACAGCCTTCTATTTTTCCTAAATCCTAACATAGTAGGATCAATTTCCCAAGATCAGTTTCCTGTATGGGAAATTTACAGAAACAAACTAGAAATTGGGAAGGCTATCAGTACAAATACCCTCAGATTGATGGCATTTCCCATGTCAAGTAACAACGATACACACATACTGTAAGTTGTAAAATTTGAATGAATGAAACCAGCACTGTGTTGATCCTAGATGTTTTTCAAGTTCAACTACCTTGAGGCCATTCAAGATTCTTTCACTTCATCAACCAGGCCATGCTAGTTGCTGGGCAGTACATTTTTTTTTTTCTGATGAGAAACAATTTCATTGGTATCATGAATAAGAGGGGAAACTCCAGTCCAAGGAGTTACAAGTTGTTGGACAGTACGTTGATTTGTATTTAGAAGTCTTATAAGGCTAAACAACCAACGGAATTAGTGAATCCATCTTTACTCACGTTGGTAAAGATAACTAAAGAAATGACATGACATTTCCATGGATTCGCTTTGGTAGACAAATATTGTTTCAACAAGTTCAGATCAAATGTGAGTTAACTGCAACTTCTTGATTCTCATATAGGTCCTATTTGTGTTGAAGTGTATTCCAGTTAATTCACATTACCATTTTTTTGTGTTCTGTCCAGCCGAAGGATTTAATTGTTTAACTTATTTCCTACTCTCATTAAGGTTTGCAGAGGCTTCTTCTGAGGATGAGTCGACTGGAAGTTATGATGATTTGTCTGAAGGAGAAGAAAAGAATATTGTCATACATGAACCTTCTATCGGAGATCATGCCAGTGAAAATATCCTGTTTATGATTCTTGAGTAGCTTGTTTTAATTCATTCTCTTATCTCTACAGCTTTCTATATTCAATCTTAAAATCCGAGCTTGCTACTGTTTGTTCGCTCCCTTATTTGATTAATACAGACAGAAGATCTCTCTGTCGATGCTAAAGATGAAGATACAATGGGAAGACCTCCATTTCTTGAAGGAAATCAAGTATTGATCTCTAAGCCTAAAAAAGTTTCTCGGGCTAAGGGAAATGTTGAGAGTAATAATCGTGGTTTATTCGTCCAGTCTACTCTACCTAGTTTGTTCAAGAAAGTGGAGGAGAAGGTAATATATGAAGACCTTTACTTAATGTGTGGAAATAGGTTGCTGGCCATGTACCCCTACATTTAAGGCTTTATTACTACTACTACTACTACTTATTTTATTTTTTATGCAAAAGAAAAAGTTAATTAGAGAGATGAAAATACAAGCAAAAGCTGTTATAACCTAGCTGTTGAGGAACAACCAAAATAAAAATACTCCCCCTCAAACTGTAAACACTTGTAAGGCCTTTACCTGCACCTTAACTGTTAAGAACTTTTTTTTTTCCACAAAAGTCAACACCAAAGTGATGACAATCTTAAAGCGAAGTATTAAATGTGTTAATTTATTTGCCTCTAAACTCTCTGTAGTCTTATCCTCAAAATCCTCCTATTACACTCTAACCATATACCAAAAAATTTTAAGACTCCTGCAGGCCAAAGAATCCTCCCTCTCCCCATGTCTGGCAGATTACTAAGAATTTCCTCCATACTGCTTCATTTAACAAACAATCGTCTATCTTATTCATAATTAAAGATGGAAGCAGAAGAAGTAGAAGAAGGCCTCCTCCATAGAGAGCAGAGCTAAGATATCAGCCGGAGGAGCTTCCCCACCCCCCTCCCACGGGAGTTATAACATAGTGAAGCTTTGTGCATTGCAGCTTTGCCTTTAAAATTTTGAAAATCCAATAATAAATAATCAACTTTAGATCTTTAAGGCTCATATTTATTTGAAATTAATGCCTGCTATTTTCAGAGGACACCAAGAAGTTCAAAGAGGTCTTCAGCACCCAAAGGTTCTAATTTTCTTCATTGATTTTATTACATGACTATGAGAATACTGCAATTACATCAAATCCAAAAATTTGGTATTCTACAGTTTCTGCCGAAAAGATGCAGCTTTCTGGTTCAAAGCGAAAGATTGAACAGGCAAGTCTTCACTTTTAAGGAACATTTTTTCTCCCAGAAATGACTCTGATTTGGATTGTCATGTATTATATTATTCAGGATGAAGGATCAAAGAAAAGGAGAGCAGTCCGGGGACAAGATGACGGTCAATCTTTCATGCTCTATCCATTTACTTTTAGTTATTTCTCAAACAGGCTTTGATATTATCATAATTGGCTGGCTAGTAATTTGTCACCTCTTCTGTATATTGGATTCTCATGGAAATTCTGAATTAGGATTTCCATTATACAACTCTTGTAGATCTAGTAGAATAGTGATTTTCATTTTCGCAGTTCCTCTTTTCTGAAAATTAACTTGTTACTTATTTACAATGTGAAACAAATTAGTGTAAAATATGTCCTTAAGTAAGATAGGCGTGCATTTGTTTTGGACTAATGTTCCTTTGCCGTCTACATTTGAAGTCGGTGCGTGAAAATTTGGGTACTGAAATTACCTCGTGAAACATTATAATCACCTTAAGCTGATTATGATTTTATGGTATTTTTTACCCGGTCAGTTGATGTACTTTAGCTCTTTGAATTTGCAGGAGGAAAAGTCCCGAGGAAAGATGCAGAATATGAGGTATCAGTGCCATTTTTTACAAATTTTCCTTTTAAAAGAGTTGCTGCTTTATTAGCTTCAGAATTTCTTAGTGCAGTAATCCAGCTTGAAGTGGATACGCTTTTCTCTTAGTTATTTAATGGTTGAATTATCTTACTGGACAAGAGGCCATTACCATATAGCTGCAACAGCTAGAAGCATCATAATAGTAATCAACTTAGCTGCCGGCGGAAAGTTTCAATAGTTCTTTTCGGTTCCTAAGTTTCAAAAATTTATTATTTAACCCTTGAGGTTTCTAAAATGTTTGAAAATGGAATTGCCGTTAGCTTTTGCTCAGTGACACAAACAAAAAGCCATAATTAATTTTGCCCCCAAGGGGCAGCCCGGTTGGCAAGGGCTTGAGGTCTCAAGTTCGAACTTTCCGGTGAGCTTAATACCAAAAATCCTTGATGTATTCCAGGTCCTGGCCTTGGGGCGAGTACGGATGTCCTTTGGTGTAGGGGAGTAAAACTCCGACTTCCAATTATTAAAAAAAAAAACCATAGTTAATTTTATGATGTTAATTATAGAAAGGCACTGGGCATACTTCATACAAATTCAATCAGCCACTCCTTCTCGTGTCTAAGGTTCTAGAAACCTAGCCACATCATCTTACAAGTCAGGTTTATTAAATTTTAATGCTCCGAGGTTGCAACACCATGTAGTCGGTTTCCATTTGCTATTCATGATTGAATGGGAGATGAAATGGTTGATGGATTGGATGTCATTGTATACTAAGTACAGTCTGTCCATATCTTGTAGGTCGAAGATGACATTGAAGAGTTGTCGAGCTCTCAAGAGGTGAGTGTTCACTACCTGTTATATAACCTATATCCTTCTCCCATGGTTTTTTAAATTATTGGATTAGAAGTTAGAAATTCGTCCCTTGATTATTGTGAGTTTTCTTTTGGTAATTATTATTCTTCAGCAATTTTTCCAGCAACCTTTTATCCAGTTCTTTCGCTTCCCTTCTACTAGGAGTTTTTGTTTTTGTTAGCATTTTGAAGTCTCATGAAAATATTTGGCCGAGGCACCTCTTTTGCTAGCAAGTATAGCCGATTTCTCACCTTCATTCTTTGAAAATTGGTTGAATAGGATCTGCTTCATAGGTTGTACCACTGTTTCCTTGAGTTCTAAAGAAAATTGGTTCTTTGGTTTAGTCGCTACCCTATATGAACTTCTCAATGTCGTCCTTGATAGTTTACACCACGTTTGTTGGAAAGTTGTCATATTTCTATACTGAATAATATTTCATGTAAAAATAAGAACAAAACAAGTTCTCCAACTGCCTCAATGTAGTTCTAGCGTTCTAGGTCCTGTTCACTAAAAAGTGTCGGACATTCTCATGACACTTTTCATATACATGTGATGAAATTAAAATTTTTAGTTAGTTTAGCAATTAAGATTCAAATGTTCGTTAAAAGATGAAATCAAAATGATACATCATTTATTGATTTCAATGAATGTTGTAACTTAAATATACTTATTTTTATCTGTCGTTTAGGAGGACACTGATGAAGATTGGACAAGTTGAGATTGTTACATTTTCTAACAATGGTGAGCCACAGCAGCAGATGGGATATGCATTGCAGGAGTTTTCTTTGAAAAGCTGCTGGCGAACTGAAATTAAAGAAATTTAACCATAAAATTACATTGAAGTAAAGTTCTTATACCTTAATGTTAGACATTGTAAAATCACGTTTTTGATATACCAGAGAGATGAACCGTTACACTTTTTATGGAGCGTCTGTGCCTTTGTGGAATGCGATCCAATTATTTAGTACTGTTTCAAGGCAATCTAGTCTGCATCTGCTCTGAAAAATTCCTGAACTGCTCCTTACAATTCGTTCTTTGTACTGTATTTAAGAGCAATTTAAGGTTTATAATATATCAAGTAATAACGTGATTAAGTATAAGTTGCTGCATAATTTGAGCTTTTAACTGATTAATATATATATTTTTCATTTAGCCTCTATTAAAGTTGGAGGTTCAAATCTCCATCTCCACATTTGTTATACTAGAAAAAATATATGTAATTAAGTTGGAGTAGTTTAAAAAAAAATTGCAGTATAATATTAGATGTAAAGATTTTATATTAAAAAAAGATCGAGTCACCAAAACGAGGGAGAAAATTGAGTTATTTGGACCCATGAGGATTGACAGGGTGAACTGCCTAGATCATCACCCTAATATGTGGTACATTTATAACGGTACAAATTTACTTGGAATTCTTCTATTCTCTTGCCCATGATTTTTATCATAATTCATTTCGGAATTCTCGACGGTGTCATTTTCTTCTCCTTCTCTTTCTACTTTATTATTCTACTCTATTCCATTCAAGCCTTTTTACAAACATTATTTTGGTTCAAGTACTATTTTGATTTTTATACTTTCTATTTTAGTTCATCCTGACCATAATCCTTGTATTTTTTAAATGTTAATTTTAATTTATCTACTTTCAACTTTTATTCATTTTAGTCGTATAATTTTAAGATATTTATTCTGATCCACATAGTTTTAAAAATTGAATGTAAAAATTGAATGTTGTTCATTTTTACAAAATTTTAGCACAAATTTTAGACACAAAATGAAAAAAAATCTTTAATACAAATTTATGGCTACATTTCCAAAAATTTTAGCAAAATTTTAGTGAGTGAAGTGTCAAGGTAACATTTTGATCGAAATAAATGAGATAAAATAAAAAAAAAAGTGATCAAAGTGATCCCTTGTTTAAAAGTACATGGATCAAAAAAAATGTTTTGAAAGTAAAAAATTGAAATAAACGAAAGTTGACAATTTATGGACTAAAATGGATGTTTTGAAGGTAAATGAACCAAAGTCGAGGTACATTGACCAAAAGAGTATTTAAACCCCACATTTTATTTTCGGAGAACTTTAAATTATGCTTCTATCATACTCCTGTTGTAAACATCTCTTAATTAAATGCTTACGTGGTGAGTTCATGGAACTCAACCATATTAATTTAATGAGCATATTATATTAACATTATGTTAAATGTAATTATCTTAGTGGTGTTATTTTGAGTTATAATATAAATACCATTATGCAAAATATTTGAAGGTTGCTCTAAAGCTGGATATTATCAATGGGAACAATTGCATTGGCGAAGAGCTTCAATAAAAGTAGATTAGAGGATCAGAGAACGTGACCTCCTTTGAGGTCAAATTCGATGTAAAATGTTGCGAGGCAATTAAACGATCTTCTATGTGTTAACACACTAAATAAGTACAAGATTGGTTTGGACATCTTTATTGGACGAGCCGAAGTATCTAGGTTATAAAGTTYGACCTTCGAAAAAACTGAACCACTACAGTATATAGGCTCTAACTTTTCTAAAAGTCAAACCGAAATACATGAAGTCATGTTCAACAACTCATTAATCGTCATTCCAATAGTTATATCATGAATCATACAAAGAATACGATCGATTGGTCTTCACCTATAAATAAAGATATTCTACAGGTATGTCATTTTGATTTTTCGTGAGATAGATTGAAACTAGCTCGACATCAAAATTTCTTTTTTTTTCTCTATGCAAGTGTCGTACTCTAGTCGGCCACCCCATCATTGTCCAATTGGAAGTGATCATAATCATGAAGAAAAAACAAAGAAGATCCGCACCCAGTTGACAAGATTGAGGGAAGTAGGGAAAATTATTATTTTTTTATTTTATTAAAATTTTTTTAATGAATGGTACGACAAATCAATATAACTGTTCAAGAGTTTTGGGATGTAAATATTTTCTTTAATTTCAAATTAAATACAAAGTGGAAAAAGGATAATCTTTTCTTTTCTCCCATCACAATCTTAAATAATCATATAATAAAATGTAAATATTTTAATAATAATATGTGATTTTAAAAGAGATGAAAATAGATAAACATAAAAGTTCAGATTTGTTTAAATCAGAGATTTGTCTTACTTAATTCTTCAATACAAAGTGTGTATTTTAGAAAAATCTATTGCTTCATTTTGATCTAAATTAATTGCTTTCTCTGGAAAATAATATGAGATGGAGACATGCTTCTCACCCTATCCTAATAAGTTAGTTTTGTCATTTACTAAACTTACAACATTTCATTAAATATGATATCAGAGGGGATAATTAATCACGTCAATTTAGAAATTCAAATTAATTAATAAAAAAGTATAAATCTAAAATAAGAAATCTAAAATAGTTAAAGATCACGAAAAAAACAATCGTGATAATTATTTTTTATTTTTACCTCTTCATCGTCTAAAATTAATATCTGCATTCGCAAATTTTCATTTTGACTGGTTCAATGTTTCCCTACAAAGAAAACAAAGGGGATAATTAATAGAAACATTAAATATATTTTTTCTTTACCCCTTCATCGTCTAAAATTAATTTTTACATTCGCAAATCTTCATTTTGACTGGTTTAATTTTCCCTACAAAGAAAGAAAACTTTAATCTTCATTATTTTTGGGAATGTTTAAAAGAAAAACCTTTAGATATTTTGGGAGAAAGAAAAGAATACAGATTTTGATGTATCCAAACTTAGTTTTCTTTTCTTTTATAAATAGTTTGTAAGGGCAAAATGGATGCTTTTATAATAATTTACAATCATACCTATACATAAATGGATGCATTGTTTGTCAAACAATCACAATTTATTTAGATTAATTTCTCTCAATAAACACCTTGTTTGAAGTTTGAAGAATAAATTGGGTATATGACATGAGTTTTGAACAAAAGAAAAAAATACATGATTTTAAAAATGGTTTGCAATCACACCTATACGGGTTTGCAAATCACACCTATACGCGGATAGATGTATCACTTTGTCAAACAATCACAACATTTTAGATTAATTTATCTCAACAGATACCTTCGAATAGTCGTATCTCGTAGGAGTTTGAAGAGTAAAATGAGTATATATTAAAAAATTGAGGGCATTTTATAAATGGTTTGCATGCAGATGCAGTCATACATTGAGACTTCGAGATATAGAGAAGGAAATTATATTTTGGAACAAGATATAGAGAAGGAAATTATATTTTGGAACATTTCAGAGAGTATGATGAGTATGTTGAAAAAGATGCAACCTATATTTCACAATATTTCAAGGAACCTATATTTTTGCACATTTCAAGGGAATTAATTTTTAAAGATATTTCGTAAGAGGCAACTAATATTCCAAGACATTGGCATTTTAACAACCTATATTTAGAGACATTTCAAGACAATCTACATTTGAAAAAACATATATCTAAGGGCATTTTAAGACAACCTATATTCCACGACATTTCATGGTAATCTAAATTTGAGACACCTATATTTCGAAGACATTTTGAGATAATCTATATTTCAAACTAATATTTCATGACATGTCAAGACAACAAATATTTTGGGACATATCTATACAACCCATATTTCAACCAATTTCGAGGCATTCAATCTAAAATTTTCAAGCATATCAAGGCCACCATCTTTCGAAACATATCGAGGCATCCAATATTTTAGGACATTTCAAGTCAACCAATATTTTGGGGCATTGAACCAATCTATATTTCATTACATTTAAAAGAAACCCATATTACAGGACATTTAAGGCAACCACTTCTTCGAGACATTCAAAACAACAAAATTTTCGAGACATTCAAGGCAACAAATTTTCAAAGACATTTAGAGGCAAATAATATTTTGAGACATTTAAGGCAACCAATTTTCTGGGACATTTATAGGTAATTCTAAGGCAGCCTATAAGTAACCAATATTTTATGATAGCACATAATTGAAGCGACCAATATCTCGAGCAAATCCATAAATAGAAAGAAGTATTTCAAGACAAATCGAGAAAATCACTACATTGAAGCACCAAAATTTAGAGATAATTGAGATATCAATGTACTAAATATTTTGCTACTAGATATATCAGTACAACATAACATATAAAGAACGATCAAATTAGAACAAAAATGCGTGAATGAACAAAAGTTATTTTAGGAAACATATACAACCTCACAACCTAAACAAATTAACGTGTTGAAAATACCATAATGCACAGTGAAATAAATAAAGTCAAGTATTTAAAGAAAACATTACCAAATGATTCCTCAATTTAGATGATAGCGCATATAAGCAAAAGCTAATTTGAGTGTCGATGGCTAGAGACAACACCTTTATTGGAAAAGAGAAAATTGTAAACAATCAAACTTGAAGTAAACAAAATCAAACAAATTACTCGATAATCATCTAAACACATGAGCATGGTGAAAAACAAGAAGTCAATTATATCAAGAAAAATTACCAAATAATCTACGAGTTCAGATGATGAGACAGATGATGAGATGATGAGACGTACGTATACAAGTAAGTTATTTTGTTCATATCAAACCATTCAATCATGCTATACAAAACGAGAAATTGACAAACGAATGGACATAATTTAAAAATGATCCCTAAGCAAGGTTGGAACCCATGATAGAGCTATTAATAGGTATTAGACAAGTAGGAAAACTATTAATGCACCTCTCATCCATAACTAAAGAAACAAGCTTTGTATCAATAAACAAACAGTAAATAATAATCCAAACAGGCTACACAATAATCCAAAACAAAACAAATATATGTAATTTCAATAAACAGAATTAAAATAACATTGAAACACTACTAAAATAATAGGGAGGAGAGAGAGAGAGGAAAGGGAAAGCGAAAGGGAAAGTGAAACAGACATGGAGGAGGGAGAGATAAATATGGGAGGGATCCTCATTTAACAAAATAACAACATATTTTACTAGTCAATACAAAGCACCAAAGGTAAAAAGCAACAACAATGACCAATACAATAAACAAAATCACCACCACAAAAACAATCAATGATAATGTATTGAGATAGAGAATGCATAAGCAAATCCAATGCTCCCGTTTCAGATGGACTATGAGAATGACCATCTTGAACAAAAGAGGATTCAATAGTTTGGTTGGAAGAGCCTTGGGACAAGACACATTGACATAGAAACTAGCTATAGTAGTCAAAACAAACCAGCCACATAGAGAGAAAGAGATTTAGTAGGGAAAAATCATGTACTTCTCCAGAGCCATTGTGTTTCAAGGGAAAGGGAAAAGCGACAGAGGAAACGGAG